TAAAAAAAAAAACAAATAATATTTAACTAAATGTATTAACTATAACAAACAATAAAATAAAATAAACCTTCAGGTTTATAAAAACCAATTTATTATAAATACTGAGTTAGGAAATAATAAATAAAAAACATATTAAATAGAGAGCTCAATAGTTATTTAAAGGGAATAGTATAAAATTAAAAGGTAATACTGATTATTAATAAAAATAAATTTAAAAATTATAACTGTAAATTATAAAACAAAACCATCTATTTGTTTACAAAAAAATTGTTAACCATAGAACAATAAAGAATCCTAACAATTGATTTTGAAGATATACTACTTCCAAAATGACAACATTTTGAAGTTTCTATGATTTAGTCAGTTTGAATACTGCTTGCTTACCTTATAGCTAGAGAGATGATAAGCTAAAATTTTAACAGCTCGTTGGATTGTTTGTACTTCAATTTGTTGAATATTTACATAAATAACCAAAAATTGCAAAACTCAATTAATTGCAAATTATTAAAATAATTTTAATAATGCTTAAAATTTTACACAAAATAATGTTTTAATTAACTTCAAATAACATCCAATAGAGATTATGTTTAAGGAAAAGCAAAATTGAAATAAATTCTGTACCTCACAAAAGTATGTAATGGAATCCAAAGCACTAAATGATGGAATCAATAACGTCAACTCCAAGAGGCGATATACAAAAAACAATTGAAATATTCTATTTATCTCTATTTTTAATTGAAGTAATTAGAATGGAAAGTATTACAGTATAAAGTATAACCTCTTTCATAGACCAACAAAGTTGCACCTATGTTTTTTTGTATAAAAGTTTAACTTCTTTTAGTTAACACTTACTTAACTGATAAGTTGACTTAAAACAAACTGAAAAATCCGAATTATTTAAAAATTATTTAGCTAATGTAAACAAATTTGAAAAGTCTATTATCTGTTTAAAGTCTATAAACGAAATATTAGGTTGAGTCATAAATAACTTCCAATGCAGATAGGTAGAATTTATTGTTAGTACCTGCCCAATATTAGCCTCAGAAACAAAACATGTTACAATAATATGTTGTTCTGCGTAAAGGGAAATGTGAAAAAGTGTTGTAAGTGTTACTTATCATCTAATTTTTAGGAATTTAAATAAGACTACGGCCCTTAGACGACAACTGCAAAAAAAGTAGTGTATAACTGACCATAGGACGGACCAATAATTTAAAATTGTTTACCTAATTTAGTTTAAGAGATATGATCTTAAAAAGCAAAACAAGATAGCAATGTCCTTCTAACCTTTATGGCAAAAAAAAATTCATTATTTTCAGAACAAACTGGATGGTGTATTTTACTAGAAAATTTAACAGAAGGTGATAAGATCATCAAGTGAAAATTGAGTGGTACAGGTCAGAATGAATCATAAAATTCTTGGATATCCAGATGACATAGCTGTCCTTGAAAGTAACCAAGAGGGCATTAAAAAACTCGCAAAGACTCTGATAAGAGAAGCAGAGCAAATCAGCCTACAACTAAATGAAGATGAAACAAAATATATCATGATAAATCAAAAATGCCACCTCAATTACAGGATCTGCATAGAAGGAAAATCGTTCTCAAGAGTAGACAAATTCAAATACTTTGATTCCACAATAACTTTAATGAATGACCAATAGAAATATACCAGTGTATAACAAATACAAACAACGCTTTCTTCTCTCTTTTAAAAGTTAAAAATCTCAAATTACGGGTTACAATGCTGTGATAAAGCCAATTCTGAAATACGGCTGTGAGAAGTGGACCCTAACCAGCAAACCTAAAAAGAAGTATTGAAAGATTTGAAAGAAAAATCCTCAGTACAATAACTGGAGCAATGTGGGATCAGTGTACTAACAAATGGAGGAGATATATCCATTAAGAGCTGCTTGCAGAAATTGGCCAATCAATATCTTATGATATGAAAGCATGGAGGCATGGATGGGTAGGACACATAGCTCATAGGAATCCATCAGGAAGCCTCTACTCAACAATTAATGCCTCAATTGTAGGCAAGAGACCACGTGGAAGGCTAGAAACCAGATGGCTATATCGAATCAACAAAGATGCACCAGAGCTGCATGCAAATAACTGGAAAGAAATAGACCATGACAGGCAGACATGGAGAAGGCTGAATAATTTGGCAAAAGATCTACAAGATGTGTTATGCCAACAAAAAGAAATTGTTACCACATTCTTACTCCCGAGATTTTCAAGATCTTTTCTGCAGCTTACAAACATTTTTGAGCAGAAAAAACATTAATTTTGAAAATCTAGTAAGGCTATAAAAAATTTCTACTCTAAACCAAACAGATTTCACAAGGAGGGGTTAAGATAATAAGCCGATCAACAAGATTGGAGAAGATCATACATAATTTTGATGAAAACATGATAAATTAGTATGTTTCATCAAATAAAAGCCTGATAAGAAAACAGGTTCATTATTCAACCTAATACTATATAAATGTTAAAACAGAGAAAAGTTAGCTAATTATGTCTTTAAATTGCACATTTCAGGCCCAGAAAATTAATTGGTAAGACTAATGTAGAGCAGAGGTCCTTCAATGGATGTGAATTGAAAACTGATAGGTGCACAATATCACGACATGTAACAATGTCTAATAATATTAACATAATGTACAATCTATTATATTAAAAATCATCACTCTGATAAAACTGAAAATTGTATTTAATAAGTAACACATAATTTTAATTATTTGACACTTAGTACTGACACTGACAAAAATAGCCACATTAAAATTAATTTATGTTTAATAATAAAAATAATTTGATGTTTGAAAAGTATGCATCGAATAAGTTAACATTTGATTTAAATTTATTTTACTTAAGAATTAAAAATCTTTTAAGTACAGAAGTCAATAAATAAAGTGTTTTCACTTGAAGATAAAAATAAATAAATTATATCCCATCACAGCAAATAATTAATACCAATTAGTTTAATATTCATAATAGTTGAAAAGCTTATTCTTTAGTAAGGTATATTATCTTTTAAAAGTTAAGATCAGTCATTTATCAAGAATAGAAAAAAAAAATCAGGTAGTGATGCAATAAATTAATACTCTTAGTATCAGATAATGCTGGATATTTTGAGAGCCTGAAAGATTACTCTATAAAAAAATGTCCTCACGAATCTACTGTTCAATTAAAATATATATATATACATTAAAAATTATACATTGAATATACTTATATAAATAAATAGAAAATCACAATAAAATTCAAATTAAAAAAATAATAAACATTAATAACCTTTCTTAGAACTATTAATTTAAAATTTAAAAAACCTGTACACTAATAAAGCAAAACTTTCATTTTGATCCATTCAATCTTTGGTTCAAATTCTTTATAAACATTTTTAATTGCACTAATATTTATATTACAGGTATGCTATGATGTAAGCATACGAAAACCATCATTCCTTTTATAAACCTAATTACATTGGAGAATGTACATATGTAGGATACTACTAATTAGTGAACACGTCCTCACTTAAATATTAATTAGCATAAATACATGTTAAAACTAATGTTTTTTTAATATATAAAATACACATTAAAAAAAATGAGTATTGTCATGGAAAATAAAATTTTCCAAGGGATTGCTGATATCAGGTACAGAGTCAAATATAAATAAATTATTCATTACAAAAAAATACAAAAATTAAATAAAAATGACACATATATAAAATCATTTATGTTCTTAAGTACACTTGCCTTTCTGTATTTATGTGGGTTACAATAGAGATGATTTCAATAGCTTCCACCTCATCCATTGGTGTCCATATATTGTTATCAACATGATGATATGTTAATTTTTCAAATGGTCCCTTTAAAAGTACATAGTATATTTAGATATAATTAAATATAACTAATTAAACCCTGCCATTATGAAATTTTCATATTTGAATTGCTCAAGTTTCTTTTTCGTATTTCACACGATCAGTCAACATTAAAATAAAGAGGTCCCATAAAAGTTAAATGTGTAAATATAAATTGGAAAAATGTAATTAGTTATAAACAACAGGTCGCTAAAGCTATTAAATAAAAAACACAGACATGGAACGTAACTAGTGGGGTAACTGCATTTAAATTTTAACAATACAATAAAAATACCAACTTAAAGTATCAGTAAAAATTAGCTCACAATCAGAATGTTAATCACTAATTAAAGGAAAAATAATAATAATAGTGATATTAAGATAGTAAATCACTTTGGATAGGATAGGAAGCTATGAAATCATTGTACAGTAAAAGATAATTCAATTTGTAACTAACACAGTAATTCATCAACATCAGTACAAAGGGAAAAAGTGATAAATGTTTTAATGATTCTTAAAAATTTTGATTGGTTTTCCAATTTTTAATATTCTACCCCTTTCTAACCCAAGTAATGGTGAACAACAAACAGAAAATCTATTTCTCTATCTGAAATATCTATATTGGTTATTACCAATCATTTTATTTGTCCACAATCAATTAATAAAATATAATCAAAGCTTTAAAGTTATATACACAGTTTATAATGTTTTGGTTGGTCATCTTTTTATTAAAAACTTGAAGTTGAAGGATTACTTTAGTCATTACTATAATTTCTTACCAGCCCAAATTAATAAAAAATAAAATATGAGCTTAAGAGTATTGTATAAGATATATTGGAATGGCACGATTATTTACAACAAAAATCAAAAGAATAGATCTTAGGATCACTTATATCCTAAAAAAATAATAATAATGAAAGTAATGTTTTTATAAAACATACAGATCTTATAAGTTTTTTTTCCATTTTTTAAAATATTTTATAATCAATTAAAAGTAACTTAAAAAATAGATACACTTTCGTAAAAATATTAAAAAACTATTTATAACAAAATAAGGTATAAGCTTCGAAAATTACTGTCTTCATAAGACAATACTCAATTCAATAATTATAATTTTATTCAATAATATAGTCTTTATTTCTGATATTAATAAAACTGAAAACAAAAATAGATTTGAAATCTTCAAGCTGTTTAAGAAACACTTAAGGTGGTGATATGCTATACTTCAGAAATTATACAGAATGTTTTATGAATGTGGTTTGTCTGGAAAATTCATATAAAAGTGAAAAATAAATTAATTATAGATTTAATCAGGTAATTCTATATTGTCCCTGATCAAGCCAAATGGACTGTAATTAGGTTATATTTAAACACAGAATTTCGGATTTTCAATCAACAATCAAAACCCAAAATTCGATATGCATGCTGTCCTCTCAAACCAACAAAGTGAAAATTGTTCACCCACTGAGATTTTTATGTTTTTTTTTTAATGGTTCAGCTTCTTGAAGGAACATTAAGAATAAAAAAATGAAATTAAGGATAAGCATCAAAATAGGCATGAATTTCACAGAAAGTAATTGTCATTGTATTTAAAATCACTCCACTTAAACGGAATCTAAGTAAGCACAGGAAAAAAAACATATGACTTAGCTAGTAATTCTCTAGTAGTTAGGACATCTCACTTTCAGAGTGTAGCATTTGTTAGAGCTATTACTTATGCTTAAATATAAAAAGAAGTATTCCTTCCTAAGTTAACAACCCCCTTCAAAATATTCTCTTTGAGAAACTATATGCTTGCACCATCTCTGATTCCAGAAAGTTCCTTAGAAGTCTTCTGTGAAGCGTTTTTTCAGCTGCTTTGACATTCATTGCATTTTAGTTTTAAAGCTCTTTGTGTCACCCACATGTTGTATTCATTCCCACAGCACCATCTTGCATTTAGGATATTAGAAAACTTATCAAATCAGATGAATAATGAAGATTTGACAGTAATCAAAATAGAAGACAGATATTCCGGCACAACTCACAAATGAGCATTGCCAGAACAGAAGATTCACCCCTTAGGATAAATTCAGTGAATCTAAGCCACACGAACTTTGAGCGACTTAGGATGGTAAATTTATAAGTTTCTATTAACAGACTGGCCTGGAGGAACCAATTCTTGGTGAATTGCCCCAACAATAAAAAGAATATTTATATTAACTTTCCTGACAAACCAACTTAAAAGCATTTCCCAAAAAATAAATAAACTGTTAATGTTCAATTTTAACTTCATCTCAAATCAGCTAAATTACAAAAATATATGTTCATGTATAAACATACACACTTCATATAGTACTTATTCCTAGGCAAAACTTCTTAACAATGATAAATTAATTTGATAATCATAGGGTTCGTTGAAATCAATATTAGTACAAAAAATGCCTACCATAAAAGCATTTTCTTCATTTAACTCAGATAAGCTATATTAATTTGGTAAGGCGGTTACAATATATAATAATACGTATTAACATTTATATATTATATATACATTAATAAATATATAAATATTATATTTACCAACATTAATTTTTTTCTTGATAACATTGATAAAAATAGAAAATTTGATAGTTGTTGATAATATGTTATTGTTTCTGTCTTTTTTTTTTTTTTGTTAATTATAAATATTTTTATAGGTCTGCACTATTAAATTTAAAATATGTCACATTATGTTGCATACACTTTTGAAAATTTGATATAATTAAATTAAAGTGAATTGGCTGAAAAATATTCTTTAAATTTCATGAATTTTGCAAATATAACTTTTAAGTACCTTTTTGATAAGACCACGATTCTTGAAGTTGATTCCAAGTGTCATATCAATCTCGAAACATCAAACATGTTCTCCTTTGGTCAAACAGATGTTTCAGAATTCAACCGAATAACAAACCTGAAAACAATATAAATAATAGTTTTATTGACTACTGCAAACAAACAAAAAATAATAAAATAGAACAAAAATATGGCAAAATTAAACGCTGCTAAGTATAGACAACTTTACTCTATTAGGACAACTACTTTAATGGGATATTTTCTATAGAACAGAACAAAATAGTCTAAATAATAAAAATTATCGATTTAACAGAGCAAAGCATCTGCTAGCTATGGAAATGATCAAACTTCTGCATTGCACATGAAATGATTGCAGTAAATAGTAATCTTTCCTATAAACATAATTCATATAAAAACTTGAGTAGAGCCAAGAAGATTGTATTCTTGACTACTTCTTCACACCTTGACAACACACTGAAAGTATATTTAATATAAGAAAAAAAATCTGGTGAATGCACACACAACTTTCACTTACCGTTGAACATTGAATAGAAATTATTTTCTGGCCATGTTGGGCTATTATAAAATTTCATTGCATTTTTAACCGAGCTAAAGCTAAAAAATTAAAGCTGAAAAATCATAAATACCATTAAAATAACAAAAGTCCTATTTATTATATCAGCAGTTGATTATGGATTGCACGATCCTTTGATTATGAATTGTACGACTATTAGTTATTACATTGTTATTGTACATTGCAAAGTTTCCGAAAACGGAATTAAGAGATTTGCATTGTCTGTCATAGGCAGGTCAAAACTTGTCACACTAATTGTAAGTAGATACTGTTGGAATATCACAAAAGGAAATTTCATCAAACTATTCACTAATTTAAAAGGTTACATTAATTTTCTAAAAGGTTACATGATGTTTTTTCGGAATAAACGGGGGATAGATACCTAAATATTTAAATATAAAATCAGATCTAGAGTTATTAAACTACAGTAAATATATTTAAGGTTATAAAAATATCTATGAAATATTTTTATATTTTACTTCTTCTTTCACACGACTACAATGAAATAGTAGTGGTATTGTTGGAATGTCACAAAGGGAAGATTCATCAAATTATTCACTACTTTAATTTTTTAAAAAGTTAGATGATAATATTTCGGAATAAACAGACGTTGATACCTAATTATTTAAATATAATATCAGATATAGAATTATTCAGCTACAGTAAATGTATTTAAGGTTATAAATATATGCTTTATACATCCATGAAATGATTTTATATTTTACTTCTTTCACACAAATACAATGAAATAGTTTTTTAAACAATGTCATTGCCTTGATTAGGTGGGTTTTAAATACTTTTTTTAAACTTGAAAATATTTTAAATGTTTACATTTAGTAAGTAAATTTCATTTAAATTCCATGAAACATGTGATTTACGTTAAATATTATTAATTTTCAAGCATTATTATTTATTATTTTTTTGCCACTCTCCGCTACCTTCTACAATTTTCTATATTAAATATTGTTTTTTTCCAAAATTCTAAGCTTTCCAACGATATTTTATATGTTGGACTGGTATTTCCGGAGTTTCATTTTCGACCCGGATAAGCATTTTAATTTTTTTCTCCTTTATTCAATTATCAAATTCTTTCAAAAGTTATATTTAGCATTTTTTCATAACTATTGATAATGAGAGATAGTTAATTATTTAAAATAAACTATATTAAAGATACTTTAGAGGAAGAGGCATATGAACATTCGGCATTTAAGCCCTGTAAAGTAACATCAACGGGGATAAGACCTAAATGATACAATGATACCCCGAGTTTAATCAAAATAATTAGAGCCATTTTTCAGAAAATTGTAAAAATGTGTTTCACCGTTGATATAAAGTGTCACTTTCGGTTAGCCGATTATAAGGAAAAAGTTGCAGTCACATCTAAGGCATATACCTATCTTAAATACGTAATATCAGTTTTGTACGACTTTTCGTTTTTGAGCTAGACTGCTAACATACACACACACAGACTATTTTTCGGGACTTGGTTATTTGGAGTCAGGGTACCCCAAAACATGTATTTCCGGTGAAAACTCAGATTCAAAAATTTTCTCGATCATAACACTTACCCCTATTATATATTACACATATACGTAAGTGAAAGTAAAAAGAGTATTCGAGAACAACAGTGACCATTATCTGCTATACATAGACATGGTTATTGATAAGGAAAATCAAACAAAACAAAAAGTGAATACCGAAGCAGTACTCAAAATTAAATCACATAAACTGAAAGATCCAGAAGTGCCTAAAGCATACCAAAAAGCTATCGAAAAAAGTTTCTTAAATACCACTAATGGGATAGTCAACAGGTGGAGGAAAGTTGACTATCATTCAAAAACATAATTGGAAATAATAAAGAGGGCAACAGCACCAAAAGGACAGCTTGGTGAGCCAAAGACGTAAAATAAGAGATCAAAAAGAAAAATTATTTGCAGATTTCAGCCTTTATAAATAACAGGGAAAGAAGAAAAAATAGAAGTCATTATAACTTCAGAAAAAAAAAAGTTTAGGAAGAATTCGCAAATAAAATAGACCTCAGCCAACAGGGCCAGGTAAAATAGAACCATCCATTATAAGCTGGGAAGCAACTTCATAAATGAAGATGAAATAGGAGAGATTACATCAAGTCTCAAATTAAGTACAGAAATGGGCATAGATGGTACATATCAGAAATACATGGGAACTACAGGAAAAAAGTTATTCCGGCACCTTCTAAGATTAATACGGAAGAACAAAGAAATTTCAAGAGATGGAGACGTGCCTATTATTATACCCATATTTAAAAAGTGATAGTGAGAGTGTATGAAGTAAAATGTATCCTTAGGGTACCAAGTAAAATATATTCGAAAATCTTAAAAGATATCTCAGAAATGCAGTGGAACCAATATTGGGAGAAGACCAGTACGGATTTAGAAGACATCAAAGTACCCACAATCTTATCTTCTTGTTGAGACAAATATCTGAGAAAGTAATTGAAAAAGATAAGAAAGCCTTTACCTTTTTTATTGATCTCACAAAGACCTTAGACAGGATCAAGAAGAAAGACATTATAACAGCTCTCAGGGGAAAAAAGGACAATATGGGACTTCAGAAAGGAATCCTAAATGTCTACTAGAAGTAATGTAATGTGGTGAGGTAAAGTAACCAGACATCAAGAGAATTTGAGACTGCCCAACGCATCAGGCAAGCATCCAGCCTTGTTCCACTGCTTTTTGTCATAACTCTAGACATGGTTCTGAACAGAGCAAAATCACAGTTAACTCCCTTTAACTTCGGATATAGAAATAATAAACCAAATCATCTTGGCCTTCTGGCCTTCGCAAGTGACTTAATTATATTCGTAAGCAACTACAAGAATCTCCAATTCAATAAAAAACATTATTCAGAAAGAATTGGAAACTATCAATATGATTACAAATGCAGCACAAACAAATATCATGAGAATACAAAGGAAAAGCAAACATGGTGATCGAGTAAAACAAAATATCACTAATTCTTCATCTTATTATTAACTTTAAACTATCATAAAAATAAAAAAAATGGATTGTTCAGCATTATTAATAAAATATATGTGTTTAAAGGGACTAGAATCCATGTGTGGGTTAGCAAATCAAGATTTGTTAAAAAATATCTATATTAAAAGGTCTAAAAAATTTCTTATGAGAATAAAATCTCTGGAAGAAGGCATTTTCGGATATTCGGTAATCCCTCAACATATACGGGCTTGATATCCACGAGTTTTGTTCACCAGCAAATACTAAAATGCGAAAATATTCCACATTTGCAGATTGCATATTTGATAATTCATAATAAAAAAAAAATTCCAGTGCATCTTGAATATGTATCTCGCTACTGTTATTGCAAATGACTTATGTAAAAATTGACTGTTTTACAGGAGAGCATAAAAACTAATTATTTCTTTATGATTTAGGAGTATAATTTTATATTTTATTGCCCCCTGCAATTTTTCATAGTAGTAGACTACTTACATCATTTGCAAACTATATAATTTCAAAAATAGAATAAAAATTAAAACTCTTACGTGCGACATTTGCACTAACAGTAGTGATATAAACTTATTAGGTATTTTTTCGCTCGTAAAATGGAAGGAACAAAAAATTCAACTTTTTGTTTGTTTCGGAGTTAACGAGACCAATACTTTACTTCAGTCAGAACAGAACTAATTTATGCTGGAATATAAAAATATAAGTGAAGTGGACACAATTTTTATATTTAAGCATAAATCGAGACCACTACGAGCTGATTGAACTTCAATCAAAATAAACACAATCACAAATAAGAATTTAAAAAAAAAAAAATTCAGAGTAAAATTACTTTAAATTTACTGAACATTACACAAAATCCATGTAACGGCAATAAGTGTCATGCCAGTAACGTTTGGAATCGACTAAACAATACAGTATAAATTAACTTTTTGAATAAAACCTAAAATTTTATAGCCCCATAACAATATTGTAATAACCTAACTCCCACTCTATCTGATCAGTACCTTCCACATTTCATAGCCACTATATTGTTAATAATTATTATTATTAATAATAATAATAATAAAAGGATTAGCGAACCCGAAGGTTCGATGCCGACACCACGAATCGCTTATTACACACCTCCCTACACTGTTCGCCGTCCAAACCCAGTCCCTTCAGATCGGCTTTAATGCAATCTTCCCATCTTCGCCTCGGTCTACCCCTCGGACGCTTACCATTCGGCACAGCAAATATTAACCTTTTAGGAATTCTCTCGTTACTAAGCCCAACAACTTTACAAGCCCATTTGATTTGCCGCGATGAAATTACCTCAATTATATTACTCGGATACAGTTCACGCAATTCGGCGTTGTGTAACCGTCTGAACTCTCCAGTTAACTCATCCTTCTTAGGTCCGAATATTCTATGCAATATTTTATTTTCAAAAACCTTAAGACGCTGCTCATCTCTTAATGTAAGCGGCCAAGTTTCGCATCCATAAAGAAGTGTAGGCAAGATAAATTATTAATAATTATTTAATTTTATTTATTAAATGGAATTGATACTAAGTAATTTCTATACTATTCACCAAATTTCCTCCAAATTTGGATCAAATCGAATGCGCCATTTTCAAACTATAGGCATGTCAAATAACACATTTCCTGATCTGAAAGCAGAAGTATTTTTATTTGGAATATTAGATAGAATTTGATAAAATTGATGCCTATTTCATTTTACGTTTACCAAACCATAAATTCCCTCCAAATTTGAGCCAAATCAAACTTGCGGTTTTATAAATATAGACATATCAAGGAGAAAAGGTTATTAATTAATAATCTAATAATAAATAACTCTAGTTCATTTTAAGATACAACATTCAGTCAAAATAATGATATATTTTTATGATATAGCTCACAAAATTTTTAGCTCAGCAGACAGCCTATTTCTTAGGTTTAATACATTATTCATTTAGTATAATATAAAATAAATTTTATAATATATAAAATTTATAACATAGGATATCTCTGTATCTACAATCATGTTTCCTAGTTTAATTTCAGAGGTAGTATGTTTACTTTCAACATTATTTAGCATATCTTCTTTTCCAAATTTATTGGTTTATGTTTGCTAGAAATATATAGGTAGGAGCACATGTAAATATTTTATTCTGGTTTTTTCTTTTTCTGACATTATTTACAGATAAATCTGGTCAAAAAAACCAGTTCAGTTGTTGGTGTCTCATTAGATTGTTCATAAATGGCTTATTTTAGAATAGGATGGCTGTAAAAACAAACATGATATAGTAAGAAGCTTACATACAAAACCAACTAACCTGTTAGTAAGAGGGTCAATAACTTCTTCTGCTATATTAAAGTGAGGCAGGGCATGAAAAGTACACATAAGGGAAACATCACTCTGCCTTAGCTGAAAAACAACCCCAGATCTGAGAGGCCTAGTAAGAAGTTCATCACAGATCAAGGACCATGACTGCACTTCTTTCTGCTCTTTTTCATTCTGAAAAATTACAGATAAACAACCTAACAATGTTATAATACTTAAGCAATATATATTAACAAAATTAATGAAGAACACACTACATTCAGAAAATGTCTAATGAAAGAAATTTTAATATCTTTGAAACAATCAAATTTTTACATAATTAATAGAGATTTTAATTGATAATTATTCTTCTAAGAAAAAGTATTTAATCATTATAATAGTCATCATGATTTTAATCAGCACATTGCCAAGGGAAAAAATGTTCAAAACAATATGTTATTTTGATTTTAATGAAAAAAGATCATATCTATAGGCTAAAAAAGTTATAAAACATAATATATTAAATGTTTATTAATTTCAAGTTTGTTTTTTTTGTTAATTTTTAAGGCATCATAAAAAAAAATATCGAAAGCCACTATCATTATTGTACTGTTATTTTGATCATTCATGCTTAATTCTTTATTAAAATTAATTTAATTGATACAATGATCAGCACTTAATACAGATTTATTGGAATTAGGCGGAAAATAAAAGATTTTAACAAATACTAAGCACATAAAATGTTTTCAAGTAGTGGTGAGGCAAACCTGATTAAAGAAGTAGGGTCTGATTATAAAGACTTTGAGATTCAATGGGAAGAAGGGAAGGTACTAAGGTAAAGATGATAGTTACCTTATTAAGATTTATAACTGAAGCCATGTTTTTTATTATCATCTCTACCAGTTATAGACTCTACTCCTGTGACTTTGAAATTAAAACTTTAACTTAAAGTTGGGACTTTCATTTTTCTGGATTATACTGATTTAATCTTAAAATTTTCACTCATACTACAGATAACCAGACACAAAAATCCTTTGTTCTTAAATAACTTCTGATAATAATGGTCTTCAGAATTTGTTGTTGTTTGTATTTGTTTTATAAAAAAGGAAGGTATATAAGCTACACAAATAATTACACATTGTTATGATTACCAAAAAGATATGGATAATGAAGCCAAAATAGTAAGCATTTATTGAAAAAGTGAAGATTATTTCAAATTCTTACATACAACCTATCTAATGTATTATGATACGATACCTGCAACACTGGGGCTGGTTGCAAAAATCGTTCAAGAAAAGCCCTTGGTGAAAGATCATGAGATAAACACAAACTTAAGTGCTTAAGTATTGAGTCAACACTATGGCGAGGCTGCTGCCTTGTCACCCTCAGATATTTCTGCAAAGCCCTAGCAAGTGATGGGAAAACAGCTTGAGCTGCTTCATGGCAATCCATTCCATTTCCATTGTTTCCTGTTTGAAAAGAACAAAAAATAATAATAGTTATAGTAATTGATCAATTACTATGTAAAATAAAACATCAGTAACATATCAACACCCACACTGCAAAAGCCTGTAAGGATAGTTTTTTTTTAAATGGGGTTTTGAGTTTTTCTGGTCAAGCTGGTGCATATCCTAATCTCATAAAATGATGCCTATGATGTTTCATTCCTTCTCTATGGCCTTGAAATCGATTATTTTTCTAATTATGGATTTTAAAAGTGGTTTAATATCTATCAAGTATATCAATCAATTATCAAGTACCTTGGAGACAAATTTCATTCAATGTTAGTTGATAATAGATCTGTGCTAGATTGACTCCTTTTCTTCCATTTCTTTTTTATTCAGTGATCAACAATAATGATGAAACTAAAGCAAAATCAGTTTTTTTTTTTTCTGTATAAAAGTAGTGATAACAACAGAATTGAATGTATCAGTGGCAGAGAGGAGCTAACTCAAAATTTAGAGGAAATGACCCAGTCAGGGATGGGCAACAGAGACTTGGAGAACACTGAACTCAACGATCATCTAGCAAAATGCAAAAAAAAAAAAAAAAAAAAAAAAAAAGATAGAAAAAAAAAAGGCATTTCCAAACAAAACTGAAATGTAAGGATGAGCCAGATGATAAAAAGAGAAATTGGGAGGCTTACCATCAGTGATGGCTTTAGACATTTAGTGCTCCTTGGCAATGACTTCATCATTCCATTCAATATTGTAATATGTACACCTTTACTGGAAGTGGGTAAAAAGGGTTAAATAAATTAATGTTCAACAGTTAAAAGGCAAGCTAATCTAGTTCTATTAGTTCAGGGAAAAGAAAATAACTGCTCTGTAGTTTTCCCAAAAAGGAAAATCCCAAAGAAGATGGAACAAAGGATTTGTATTGGCAAGTAGTTGGTGTTTGGCTGGGGTGAAGAGAGGATGGGAGAAGGGATCCTGGCTGCAGTGGGTAAAACCCAGTAATAGTATTACCATCTTGGAAGTTATTTGACAGAGGCACTAGTTGTTTGGAATTACAAGAGAGAGGACCTCCCAGGTAGCTTGAGTTGAATAGAAGAAAATGTCACCATTTTGGAAGCTGTGTTTTACCATTATGGAAGAGAGGAGAGTGTCGTAGATAAGCAGAAAATAAAATACATTTCAAAGAAATACGATCCCATGAATAGGAAAATTAGAAGTTAAGAAAAACAAATTTTATCTACTCACAATGTATGCTTTGTGAGTGGTGATGAAAATTCAAGTTCAACACAGAATAAAAAATAAGAGAAAAAAATAATGTATTAAGAAACTTGAATATATATATATATATATATATATATATATATATATATATATATATATATATATATATATATATTGTTTTTTTCCTCCTCTCAATCATATGTAGTTTACAATAGTTTTCTATATTTTTACAATACCATTATGAATCTTCATTTAAACATCTTAAGAAACATCGTAAATCATTTTTTAGCTTAGTTAATTTTTTCTTGTTTTTTTTTTTAATCATTACAACAATGGTTATCCTATAAAATTTATTTAACATTCCTTTCCAATTTCATTTATTTTATTGTTTTTAACAAATATATTGCAGTATTGTAACCCTGATGCCCATCTGCTTTCATTCATAAATCTTCAGAACTATGTATAGACTTGTCTTATTACTTATGTTTTAGTTATTCTTTATTGCAATAGGTCTTTTGGCCATATTTATTGATAATTTGTATGAACAATATTGTAATTCTTAAGGGACTTTGTCCCAGAATAAAGTTGATTTTTCTGTTTCTATTACAAGTTGAGTGCATTGATAAAGAATCTTTCATGGACTACTCCAATCATGGCCCATGCATTTTATCTGTCCTGGCCCTACAGAGGGAGATCCTAAAGGGAATGTCTGTATGGTCAAATATAATTTTCCAGACAAATGTTTTAAATATATTCATTTGAAGAATCATGTCTCTACTTTTTGGAAACTGAATTTGTTGTTTCTGTCATGTCATAGTTTTTATTCTTAAGGCTTTTGCATTGTGGCTGTCGATATAATCATTGATTCTTCTAATTTTAGTAATTTAAATTCATGAATAATTCCCAGCTAGCAACATTAGTCCGTAGTGCAGACCACTTTTTATCAAATTATTAACATCTGCCTGAAACTTTGTAAATAGCTTCATTCATCGTAACCTAGAAGCATTTCATTTACGAAAATTCTCAGAATTGCCGTTTTCAACCTGGAGGTCGGCAAACTTTATTTATTTAATTAAGTACTAAAAACTAGTAAATACCCATTTGATTTCCCCTTGAATTGTAAGATAATTTGATCACAAAATCGATAAAAAAAGGTGGCCTACAAAAATATTAGGTGCTTGGCCTATATATCCTTGTTATTTTGACAATGTGGGGGTGTAGATCGTGTCAAACGACTCAATATTTTTGAAGGCCGACTTTGTGCTCAAATTATCATACATTTCAAGTGGAAAGCAAATGGGTATTTATGAGATTTTAGTACCTAATTAATTAGAAAAAGTTTGCTGACCTCCAGATTGAAAATGCCCCAAATTGAGAATTTTCGCACATAAAATATTTGTAGGTTCCAATGAGATAAAGCTATTTACGAAGTTTCAGGCAGATGTTAATCATTTGATAAAAAGTGGTCTGTACCACGGATTATATTCAAATACACATATTATAATAAAATAACTTAATAAATCTATGCAAACTAGAAACCTTAGCTACTTTTCTATTTAACATACCTACAGATATAAGACTTATGATACGTAAATTGTATTTTTTCCTTTAAGTATAAGAAAGATAAATGACTAAATTTGATAATTAAAATGACAACTATATCCATAGAGTAAAAAATAATTTTTTAATCCTTAGTAGATATTTTTTATTTATTACAGAATGACGTTAAGTTTAAAAATTACATAAAATGAAATAAAGCCTATCTCACAACTCTTGATAATCATTGAATTCATAACAAAGAAATGTAAGCATTGATTCTAAAATTTAATTTATATTTTGATTAGAGTTGAAGTATAAACGAAGAACATTTTTTAAAAATTTAATACGTCCAAATCTCAGAAATGACAATTGTTTTTTTGTTTTTTTTTTTGAAAAATTAAATTCTACATCCAAAAATCATGAAGTTTATTTCAAAACAAATTTTCCTACATCAAATAGATTTAAAAAATTTGACTTGTATACATAAGAAAAACCCCATAATATTTTTTTTAAATAATAATTTTCCGATAGTAGATATAATGACTTTTGACAGAATGCTTCTAAAATATATTTAAACAAAAATAAACATTATTCTAGTTGATTTCTATAAATCACTCATTATCAGTTTTATTTTATACTATGAGTACCCTCATAAAAATTAAATAAATAATACCATTTATTTTTACTAACTTGTTCTTTGAATAGCAAATAGTAAATTCATACCTGGTTCATGATGAAGACGCTTGATATGAGTGAAAGCTTCTTCGGCAGCAGTAATAAGTCGAGCTCTACGCTTTTTAACTCTTCGCTCATAATCATGTTCTTCATAGAATCTTTCATTATGACTTGAGTCTCTCCTCCTCGACTCTCTCAACCCACCTCTGGTTTGACTCTGTAAAATAAAAACTTTGTTGTGGGTTTCTACCAAACTGTTGAAATAAAATTCCCTGACTTTTCCCAAATTAATGATAGTTTTCCCTGACCTATATGTCAGGGGACACGAATGTTAAAAATGCATAGTACATATCTCTCTCTCTCTCTTTCTCTCTATCTATATATATTTATATATATATATATATATATATATATATATATATATATATATATATATATATATATATATATATATATATATATATATATATATATATATATAGCTTATTACTATAAACTATATATATATAGTTTATAACTAATTCATTTATTATACATTAGTGAAAATTGAAAGATTAGAGTAAAAAAAAGTCTGTTCAGTCTTTTAAATAACAAATATAATGTTTTAGAGGAAGAATTTTTTAAACTTGATTAGGATTTTTAATTTTGGAAAACTACAATTTTTTAAACTATTTTTATTTGAAAATGAATACATTCTGCCGCATTAGAGGGCATTAATATTAGGGCCACATTGAACATTCACACAATATATACATACAAATGATAACTAAAATAGAGATAAAAGAAAAAGAGTAAACTTTAAGTAATTTATTTTTAACGGCTTTATTTTATTTTCATATAGTGATAGTTTTTTATTATTTCATATAATAAAAGTTGATAATTGACGCTTTTCTCTATTATAAAATAAAGTTAGGAGAAGTACATTGTATCTCTTTGTCATGAACTCGGAGTTACTACAGTAAAGACTGAAAAACTGATATAAATAAAATCAGAATTTTTCAAATCATTATTGTTATAGGCAAAATATTACTTCATTGAAAGGACTAACTTTAAAATCAAATTGAGCACTAATTAGCAATACAAGATTTAAAATAATATTCATATTTTGAAATATGTACAAACAATCTCAAATAGAATACACTTAATTTGTAAGATTTTCTTAAACTGTTTCATTTTTAAATTTAAAGTTATCTGTTTACTATTCATCAGTAATTTAATATAACCATAATGATAATTACCAGGAGAATGGCCAACAATTGTAAATTAGTATAATAGATTCTGAAAACAAAAACTATGAACAACTACATTCAATACATTTAAATTAAGACAACCTGTAGAGAAGTGTTATTTATTCCATCAACTTCATAATATTTGAAGCTTGATGTGGGTTTACGAGACTTTGAGACTGGTAACCTTTCAAGATAAGGGTTATAAATAGGAAATTCAGTATAATATTTGTCCAAGATCCAAACTGCTGCTCTTTGAATACTAAGTTGCCCAATTGCATATGCTTTGCTTTCACCATCCGGGCTTCTCACAATCTGTTAAATAAAAAGCAATAGATGTGTGAATGGATAAAAATAGACTTTTTGTTTTACTAACCTACAAATAAATGCTTTTTTACCTTAACATAATACATTGGCTGAATATGTCTTAGTTCAATTAAAACAACAGCTAAATAATGAATAAAAAGAAGTGTATCAGTAAGACTAGCAGCGTATGCAACAAGTGATCTATATTCTAAAGACTCCTCCCCTGTAACTGACTCCCGGGCTCCTAGAGGAAAAAAAAAATTAAACAAACATACTTTGATCAAGAAAATTAAATGTAAATAAGGGAAGAGATGGCTCAGTAAGAATGCCATGCCAACAAGTTTGATTTTAGCTATGATCTTACAACATCAACGTTAATGGCTTAAAAATAAATAAACAATCATACTTACAGACGGTAAACTTACATAAAATCATATAAGTAATGTATTTTTTTTTTTAAATTTAAGTATTTGAGACATAACATCTTCTTTTTTCTAACTTATACAATAAAGAAGCAAAGTATTATAAATACTACAGTAAAAGCATTACAGAAAATATATAAACTTTAGTAAAAACTGATAAGTAATTTTTAAACAAACCTTCAGTAATTTGGACAACATAAAAGAGCCAATAAGTAAAGCAGCATATGAGAACTAAAAGCAAAACTACAGCTCGGAACACAAATATACTAGGCATTGTTGCCCTAGACTTTCGTATAAAAACTGCCCATGTTCCACCAGCTAAAAGAACTAGCTTAAAACAAAGAGAAACCAAAAGCCCTTTGCATTCAGCTCCACATGACAACAGTTCTGCTTTCTCAGCAGCACTTAAACTAGCCCCAAGAGATGGAAAAAATCCTGTAATGTAAATAATAATTAGAAAGAGTAACAGTACAGAAAAATATTTTTAAAAAACTACAATGAATTGTTCAATTGTCTTAGTGAAAACCAAACTAACAATTGGGAAAAATACACACAAGCTTTTAATTATAAAATTATCCTTTAATACTCCATAGTTTCAATTCATTAAACATCTGTTATAAAACTTTTTTTTTAGACATTTCATAAAAGCAAATAAATCTCTAATCACTAAGTCTGCCTTAACACACCAGAAAATCGAAAGTTAAATACTAATATACAAATTTAACTATAACTAATGATCTACTTATAAAGTCAAATGAGTGCTTAAATACAGGATACATGATGGCTATGGTTTCAAAAAACAATTTAGAACTAATTAATTTTCTACTTTTACTAAAGGCAATTACTGAAAAGTTTACTAAGCTTGTATGTATGGATATATAGACAAGGGAAACTATCCCTTATACTTCGATCTTAACAAAACACGATGAGAAAATTAAATTACTTCTAATCCAGAAATCAAAGAAAAAAATAATTCTAATTTAACAAGAAATAAGAAAAATCAAAACTAACCTATTTTTGGTAGAATGAGCATCAATGTGGGGCTAGTAAAAGCCATAATAGCTATAATAACAGCAATTGTAGTTCCAACATATCTACTACAAGGAAAACTTATCCCTGTATCAGTATCATTTTGCCACAAACTAACTTCTTCCACTGAACCTGATTGGTCCGAAGTATTGCCAGTGATAGCTGTAGTATTTTCTCCCCAATTTTCATCCTAAACATAAAAACTTTAATAAAATATGTATTAGAGCATGATAGGATGCTCTTCTTCATTTTTACATGGTGTAAAGTGTGAATTGCACTCCGAAGTTCAAGAAATTTTTTTTTTTCTTACCCATTTTTAAATACAAAAATTATAATAATCTCAAAATTGAAGCTCTTTGCCCGTTACAGACATTTGAATGTATACTAAATAAATTTTGGACAGAAATATATCTTAATCCCATCCAGAAGAGTTACCTGTTAGCAAATAAAAACGCAGGCACAACAAACAAATCGTTTATTCTTATGGCTAATGTTTTTATTATTAGAGTGTTGTCATCGGTATAAGTCAGATATTGTCACTTTCTGTTTAATTATAATTATTTATTTTTGAAGATTTTTTTAACTAATTAAGAAAATTGATTAAAATTTAAGTTACTCTATGTAATTATGTATTAACAATTGCACATAACTGAGGTTTTTAATGTAAATAATCAGGTGGTCTTAAACTTTTGACTGCCAGTATATATACAAAATAAACTCTAACTGCAGCTTCAAAAAAACTTAACACAGTAGCAATAATACGAGTTTACAACAGCAAGGGTGACAATTAATACCACACAACAAAGAAGCCGGACTGTCTAAAAAAGCTTAGTAAAAAAATATTCCAATTTAAATGTAAGAAAGATTTTAGTTTATTGATATTTTAGTAACATGAGCAAAATCATTTCTAGTTATCGTTATTATTATAGTAACTAGTGCATTATTGTTGAGTGATGAGTTAAAATTTTTAATAAACCATTATTTTAATGCTCAACTTCTTTTTAACACTACTTAAATATAACATGATTCACAATTTAAAGCACCAGTGAAGCAATTCATACTAGATGAATAGTAAAGGAAGGAGAAAGTGACATCCCATACAGGTCTCAGCAGCCAAACACAATATTCTTATCAATATCTTTTGAACCAATGGTAGTAGAATATTCTAGTATTCACTTAAACACTGAGAAATATATCTGTTTCTCAATAATAAAGTAATATGGATAAAAATAAAGAAAATTACAAAATATTTTAATATTTAATCGTATAACCTGAGGTAAAATTTGAACTTCAATCACTTCTTGCCCATTTCTTGTTTCATCTACAGTAACAGTTGTTTGAAAAGGAGCCATATTTTCTTCTTGGTTTTGACTTCTGTTGGTCCTAACATAAAATTAAAACTTGTTTATATTAACATTTCAGTATTAATCAAATAAATCCATCATAAATATAAATAAATAAACCTTGAACTTTTATGAGAGTGACTCCGATGAGTAGTTCGATGATTAGTATGAGATCTTGAGCGTTTAGTTTTTGAGCTAGGCTCACTTAAGGCAGACTTGATTGAATCCGTCTCCATGCCTGGCTTCAGGTCGTAATCCGAAAGCCCATACATGTTTCGCACACATAGCTCCCCTCCAAACAATTGTAAATCTACAATTTATCATAAAATTTAAATTAGAATTGAGTTTTTACAATTTTTGAAAAAGAGATCTAGGGTATCCAAATGGTTTATTAGAAATATTATAAGCATTTAATATGAAGAACAGTCAACAATTTCATTGAAGACCCCCTCTTTATAGTTCTTTCACAGCCCCTAAGTTCCTGTTAGAGTCTAGACTGGTGAAAAGGGGACCTATTGGTCTGAAAGGACCAATAATTGGGATGCCTTCCTGCCAAACCATGAAAACCAATGTTTGTGACAATGTAAATCTAAGTGAAAACTTGGTCAACTTTTAAATGTAAATGTAAAAAAAAAGGTATCTTTGTCAACTAGAGAAAAAAAGAAATTTCAAATAGTAAGTTTTAGCTTTAATGGTATATATAAATTAAAGGTTTTTCTAAAAACTCTAATGTCCGTCCAATGCTAATATACGGTTCAGCAACATGGACTATGACCAAACGTAATGAACAGATTCTCCTTGTGTTCGAGCAGAAAATCTTTTGGAGGAAATTTGAGGTGTTTTGGTGGATGGAACCTGGAGGAGGCTCATGAGTCAGGAGGTTTATGGTCTATTTAGAGAGCCAAATGTCGTTCAGATGGTTAAACTGGGTCGGGTGCAGTGGTCGGGGCATGTGGTGTGCATGAGTGAAGAGAAGTTGCCCAGGAAGCTTTTAATGGAGCCCTCTCTATGGAATGAGAATACAAGGAAGACTGAAGCATAGATGGGTAGACGAAGTTGCAGCTGATGCTCGGAACATCCACGGAGTTCCGTAACAAACTGGATGAGAGCTGCACGAAACCATGACGATAAGCAGAAGTTGCTGGTGGAGGCTTGGAGCTGGCAACGGGTTGTTGCACCGAGATAATAATAATATTAAAAACTGCTTAATTTTACACTGATATAACAAATTTAATCAAAATCGTTCGGGCCGTTTTCTAGAAAATCGTAAAAATGTGTTAAATTGATAATATAAAGTGCTAATTCTGGTAAACCGATTTTGACAAACAAGTTGCTGTAAAATCCCAAGCATAGACAAATCTTAAATTTGCACTTTCACTTTCGTAAGACTTTTCATTTTTGAGCTAGACTGTGTTATTTGAGCTCAGGGGACCTCAAAACGTATATTTCCGTTAAAATTCGAATTCAAAAATTTTCACGATTGCAATAGGTAAGTGAAAGTAAAAAATTGTAAGCAGAAAAAAAGCTCTGTCACTGAAGTCTTATTTTCATATTATTTATTATTTAAACAAATGTTAAAAGCAGATAAATTGTTTCATGAATGCTAAACTGAGAAAATGTATTAGAATTTTTAAGCATTGAAAATTATTACACAACGGTTTATTATGTTTTATGGAAAAATTATGTTTTATTCTTCATTGGGGCATAATTGTTAATATGAGTGATTGAATCAAAATACATTCCCATTTTAAATTATAATGCAAATATAGCTACTAAATGTAAGAAATTTATTTGTAAAAGAATTTCTTCATTTTTTTCGCTTTAACGACAACTTAAACAACATTTCATATAGGTAATTTTGCATTTTTTCTTCCAGAATAATTAACATTATTAATATAATAATAAAATAAAGTTCGCCCAAATTAAACCCTCAATCCACAAAATGCTTCTTTGTCTTGAGCTCATTTTATAATATTATTTATTTTTCTTTATGTTCAAATGAAATTGTTTCAGGATAATTCTCTTATTCTTCTGGAATACTACCAATATTATCCTATACTGTGAATCCCTAAATATGAGTTTTTTTATTTATTTAGACATATAATATTCTGTCACAGGGACAATAATTATATAGATAAATGAACACAAAAAAAAAAAAAAAAATTAACAAAGTAAAACAATAACTAAATAATAATAAATAAAAACTATATACAATAAAAAAATAAAATAACCTAAATATAAGTAAATTAAAAACATAAAAATACAATCATACCTATATACAATCAGGCGGGGAACCCAAATCCCTGCGCTACTCTCTCAACCGCCTCACCGGTGCTAAAGCCGGTGGAGTTTGAGCGAGAGCGAGAGTTTAATTAAAATAATTTAAAGAAGGAAGATGCTTGGAGCGAAATTTCTGTCTTCATGTAAATTTCAAAAGATGAGTGCCAAAAGAAAATTGAAACCCCATGGGTTCCAACCAAAGAGGAAAAGCAAGAATTGAAAAGACTACCAGCTTTGGAATGGATAGGTACTAAGTTCCCAGTTCCGGTGCATATGAGAACTAACCCATTAGTCCGGGAGTCCATAGTAAAAAGTTGACTCATTTTATAGTAAGGTTTGGCCTTATAAATTGACTATGTCCACATGCCTGATGAGGAAAATATATGTCTGACAACATATGGAATATGAAATGGCGGACTAGTAAATATAGATCGAGCCTATTTATATAAAGCTACCAATCCTTTAAATTTATAGTATTTACCGTCCTAAGACATGGAACAACTGTCAGTTAAGCAATACCTGAGGATTTCAAGTCGAAAATTTGAATTTAGGATTGAATTTTTCAGTATTTCTGCTTATATCAGAGAAATTATACGCTCTAGTTATAATGATGTTCTATTTAAAATAAATGCTGACAAAATTTGCAACAGAAATGGTTATATTCATTTGTTCGCTATCATATTTAGTTTCCAAAATATCTGTCCTAATTCACTAATTTAGAAATAAAAATGTTTGCCTAGCATCTTTATCAATACTTGACTTTATCAATACTAGATAACTATTTATCTTTTCTTCTTCTCCTTCTACTGTAGATCAGTGTAGAGGATCCAGTTTTTAGATGTTCTCCTGATCCTGATACATGTATCTCGTTTTTGTACCATCTGATTGCTTCTATTTCGGTTCATTCATCTCCTTCCGTAGTTAAATTCCGATATTATACAGAAAAAAAATTAACTTTCGTAATTTTTGTTAGGAAAGTTAATTTAATGCGAAAAAGTGCCCACAGTATGGTCACACTTGTTTTATTATACCTAGTCCAGTCATCAATATTGTTACAAGGAAATATATATAGATTTCAACAGAAAAATAGATTTTTCAAAAACATTATTAGAAAATAAAATATATTTCTATAGAGAGTAAGACAAAAATGAAAATTCTCAAAATGTCCCCCTTTTGCCTTGATACAGGCATTTAATCTCTGTGGTCAGTCATCAATAGCAGCACACAGCACTTCTGCTCGGACCAGAGATTGTTTGGTGCTTTCCAATTTAGGATGTGCACAGTAGCATGCCATCCTTTCCAGTTCGGACCAAAGCCGATAATCTAGTGAGTTGAGATCAGGACTTCCTGAGGGCCAATCCGATGAGCTCTGGAATGTTCTTTTACAGCCACTGCTGAGTTGACCTGGCCTTGTGAGCTGGAACAGAATCCTGCTGGAAAATGTACATTTTCCAATGACTTCTAGCAAACAGAGTATCATTTAGAGGCTTGATGACAGGTCCCAAAATATCGTCCTGATAGTTTTTAGCATCTGTTTTCACAAAAATGGAGCTTTGTGGTGCCATCAAAGCAAACCCTATCAAACTATCACTGAGGAAGGGTGATGACCTCTTTCAATGACTTCCTGGGCTTCTTTAGAGCTGTGTGCATACTCACGATCATTTTGGAGATTAAATTTTTCTTCAATTTTTCTCATCGCTAAACAAAATCTTTCAATGAAGACCATTAGTGTAACGGAAAAGGAGCACTTTGCATCTATCCACTCTAATTTTATAGGGAAGTGTTAGTGTCTGGTCATTCTTCGAAATGCGCCAATCTTAAGGTCATTTCTTATGATTCGAGCAACCACTGCTCTCAATGCATTTGCTGTTCTCACAGCGCGGGGACGGCCCAGTCGAGGTCTGTCACATACAGATAGGGCCTCATTATATCTATTTATAGTAAAGTACACGAACATACGGCTGATACCCAAAGGTTTCAAAGAGTTGAAAATCTCTGACCTACATTTTCCAACTTTGTGTAAGGCGATCACATCTTTATCACCCCACTCCATGTTAATTGAGCAAAAGAAAAATACAAATTTACTGGGATTATTATCCTGACATGTAAAGAAAATATCCTGATAGAGGTAAGGATTATCTAAATAATACCCAAGGATGTAAACAAAGTTCAACTTTTGTATCAGTACTGATGGCAGAACTAGGTATATAAAATGTTTTATTTTCTTTTTCTTTTTCTTCTAAAAATCCACAAATTTTCTCCTTTTATCAAAACTTGGTCCTTAATTTCTTTTCTCTCCATCATCCTCATTTTAACTTCACAGTCTATGAATGGCCCATGAAGGACCCTGGCCTCCTCAACAATCTTTCTCCACTCAGGCCGCTCCACCATTGCTTCTCTCTTATGTTTCACTCCTAGTGACTTCAGGTCGTCCGTTTATCCTAATCTAATCCTGTTTCTTCCCCTTTCTCCATCTGGTTGTCCTTCCATTATTTGCTTGGGGAGTCGTTTTTGCTCCAACCGATGTACATGGTATAGCCACCTCATTCTTCTCTTTTTAATGCAAGAAACTATATCCGATTCCCCATATAAGTCCTTAAGTTCTGCATTTGTTTATATGTGATACTTACTTATTAATTAGATTACACGATTAATTTTTACTGCAAGCTAAAAATAAAAACCTAATGTAAATAACGTTTTCAACTTATATTTCTGAGAATGCTTATATTTCTGCATGCAGTCCAGAAAAGTCCAAAACCGCCCTTACTAATGAAATTGAACTTACAGGCTTTTGCAGAGTGGCTATCAATATATTATTTAAACAATGTTCTCAAATATTGTAAATTTTTCTTTCTCATGTAGCAAAAATAAACACATTATAATTGTCCACCCAAAACAACAGGACAATATATAACAAAAGAAAATGAAACAAGAAAAATGTTTAAATGATATAATCCGCTGAGTTATGTTAAAAGTTATTGGATAGAGTTGTTGGTAGTTTAAAAATAAATTATATATCATATCAGCTGTATTAATATTTGTTTGATTTTTACAGCAAGTAATTTAAATTGTTAATATCTTCAGTCAAACCCAATGCTTTCTTCAAAATTTTTGGCTGGATTATTAAATAATCAATAGTTGAAGAATAAATATTTCTAAAATTGCTATAGCAATTTTAAATTTAACAAAATTTAATATCCTCCATTAAGAGTCCAATTCCATCTAAACGAGTTCCATAGATTTGCAACAGAAAGATAAAAATTATCACTTATTAATCAGTTAATCAACAAACCATTAGATCCAATAACTTATTTTACAAATTTAAGTGCTAAGATATCTAATATACTAATGTAAAACTTCATTAATTTATTAGATCACTTAAAAAAACAGACATTTCAATAACAAGAGGGCTTATACACAAACTTTAACAGTTAAAACAAATGATGTGCAGAATATGTATTTGATGTACAGCTTATTTACTGTGGCTAATGACAGAGAAAAAGCCTATTTTATTTATTTTCATGAAAATGTCATATACTTGGAACTATCAACAAACACAAAACAAATAAAGCGATAAGAAGAGTACTTCATTTGAACATTCAATAAAATGTTTGACATTTATAATAGAGAATAATACAAATAGTCATAAATTTTAAAAAATAACGCTTTGTAATGTGTAAATTAAAATTGATAATCAAATGAACAAGTGGAAATACCTGATGAAACAGTGCTTTAATCAAAAAACATTGTTTAATGACAACTTCAATTTGATGAATGAAAGCTTAGAGCCTCTTATCAAATACTAAAACTCTTCACTTTTCTTTAACACAGAGATAACCACGAAACTACTGATAACTAAGCATAACTTAAGCAGCACTTCTTTATCAAGCATTTAAGATAAAACTAAATGAACTGAAACGAAGTCGCCTACTCCCCTAAACCTTTCCCACCATCAACATGGCAGTAGCATTGAAGATACCCGTAAACGATTGGCAGGCTGTTAACCTATCTTAACAGCGGTGGCGCCCTGAGGTTACCCACGATAGTTGTTTTTCAAATTATTCCAATTTGTCATTGAGTTAAATTAAGTAATAATGAGCGGGGTAAGATTCACTCCGATAAATGAAGGTCTTGGCGAGCCAGAACAAGACGCCAATTCAGCTTTAACTGAGTTAGATAAAGGTAAACATTACATGAATATTTTAAGATTATATATTATTTCATCTAGAATGATTCCTATGAAACTTTTAAGCAATGATATTATAAAAATCGTAAATTTATATCTGTATTTTTTTTTTTAAGGTTTAAGATCAGGCAAGGTTGGGGAGCAGTGTGAAGCAATTGTAAGATTTCCAAGACTATTTGAAAAGTATCCTTTCCCAATTTTGATAAATTCGTCCTTTCTCAAGCTTGCTGATATATTCCGAGTTGGGTAAGGATCTGTTTACTGAATTAGTTTTTATATGAATGCATGGCCTATCTCGTATTTCCTTATAACAAAACAATAATTATTCAGGGATTAATCATTATATCTGTATGATGAAATTTTTATAATATGATATGAATTGTTATTAGGTGCTACTCCACAACTTTTGAATACTACTCTGATAATCATACTATAAACAGAATTCTAAGGCTGACCGGCTACTGAAAGCTCAGTCAGCAACTTACCTTGCATTGGTATCCTTCCCATATTCCGTACAACATTTTTAATATATATATGTACATATATATATATATATATATATATATATATATATATATATATATATATATATATATATATATATATAGCATATGTAACATTTAAAAAAAATAGCAAAGTTGATCATGACAGTGCCTATCATTAAAAACCTTTGAGCTGCGCTTTCGGTGGCCAGTCAGCCTAAGTGTCTGAAAGTAGATAAAGGTGACCAAACTTTCTGGCAAGGCCCCAACCTTAACTGAAAAGAACGTGTTGGATATTCGTTCATTCCTTTTGAGTGACTGAAAATTGAAATCAGCCATGTGATTAATATCAGTTAAGAACCCAATTTTAACTAAAAATGACCAGTTGGTTGTCTAAAAGTAGTAAATCATAATCTAAATAAAGGGAAATTATAGAAGAGATAGAAGCGCTCCAAAAAGGGCGGTGCATGGTCTGAGGAGAGAATACGTAAGCACGCGGAGCTCATGAGGGGCATACGGGAAAAGAGAAAGCATTAAATGTGTTAAATTAAAACATTTATACTGTTTTCTGTCTCAAATTGTTTTTATTTGTTTATCATTCTGTTTATTTTGTGGGCTTGAACCTCAAAAGGTTGGAGGTCTCTGTATTTTCTCTAAAATTATACTGACTCATATTTGCAAAGAAGATATAGAATCTGGTAGAGGGATGGAGAAATAGTCATATCCGAGTGTTTCGTTAATACTAGGGAATGATTTTGAAGTAATCATTCAACATTAACCTTAATGAAAGGGTTAACATTCTTTTCATGGGACCATCTGGTGGAATCAAACTCACCATGATCTGAACCGACTGCTTGTTTTTGGATCTTTGCTTCAGTACTATTTACCATGATAGCCTTTTTCCAACAGAGAATTATCCTTCATTTAGATATACAGAATGTTTTGACTTCACTGAGGTGAAATACATCAATGTGCTTAGTAATATACTTACGTTAAATGTTACTAGATCACTTTTGCAATAAACTAACACTAAAATCTGGGTTTTTTTTTTGGTGCGTTATAAGCCATTTCTTGCTTGATGTTTGAGGAAATCATCCGTGAGGACTTACTTCTCTAGTTTAATATAAGTATATCAGCATGATTTTCAGCTTGAGATTTTAAAATATTCTTCTTTTTTTTTTTAACCTAGTAATAACTTTCTTCGTCTTTGGGTTCTACGAGTTTGCCAGCAAAGTGAAAAACATCTTGACAAAATCTTGAATGTGGATGAATTCATCAGACGTGTGTTCAGTGTTATTCATTCCAATGACCCAGTATGTATATCCTTTATTTAAATATTACTTTTTTAATGCTATCTAAGATTTGTAATTATCAACGCTAGATAATTATAAATCGTAATTTTTATATACTCGCAAATCTATTTTAAATATAGGTTGCAAGAGCTTTAACTTTACAAACTTTGGGTAGTGTAGCTGGTGTAATACCTGAAAGACAGCAGGTTCATCACAGCATCAGACGGAGTTTGGATTCCCATGATAGTGTTGAAGTAGAAGCTGCCATCTATGCTGCCATGCAATTTGCTGCTCAGTCAAAGTAAGAGTTTTTGTTCCTTGTTTTTAACTTGGTTGTAAAAGCAATAAAATATTTAAATTTAATTGAATTCCACACTATGGTAAATTTGTATATTAGATAAAACAGAGCAGATGGAGTGTCAAGTAAAGAAATGTGGTTTCTTTTCCTATATATATATTTATTTTTGTTACTTTCACTTACCTATATATGTAATAATAGTAAGGGTAAGTATTGTGATCGTGAAAATTTTTGAATCTGAGTTTTCAATGGAAATACACGTTTTGAGGTACCTGAGTCCAAATAATCAAGTCCCACAAAATGGTGTGAGTGAAAAGTCGGATGGAAGTGAAATTACATATTTAAGATTTTTATATGCTTAGGGATGTTACAGCAACTTTTCTGTCAAAATCGGCTAACCGGAAGTGGCACTTTATATAATGGATTAACACATTTTTACAATTATCTTGAAAACCGCACTAACGGTTTTGATTAAATAAATCATATCAGTGTAAAATAAGCAGTTTTAAATAAAATGTGATCATTGTTCTAATTGATGTTCTCTAACAGGGCTTAAATGGCTAATTTTCAATATTAGCTTCCTCTAATGTACCTTTAATTTTTTTTATTTGAAACAATTGACCATTTCACATTAATTTCTAATATGAAAAATGGTTAAATATAAAATATGAAAGAATTTGATAAATAACTAAAGGAGAAATAAGAGATCGTGACGGAGAATAGTTGTAATTGAGGATTATATTATATAAATATCATATTTGGTTTTCATGGATGCTATTGTTGGTATTATTTAATATTTAATTGTATAGATTACAGCTATATAAATATTAAAATTTGTATATGTGAGGGTACTTATACAAATAAAAATACCCACAATGAAATATAAATAAATATAGAGTCTATAATTTTTACTTTCACTTCGCTTTATCTGAAAATACTTATTTCTGCTAAGAAGAGGGTGGTAAGTGAAAGTTGTGTGATGCGCGCACCGCACCAGATTTTTTCCACCAGGTTTTTGGTATTTATTTGACCTTCAGCCTTGAAATAGCCTTCACTCATTGCCAATCAAAATAAACATAAATTATTAAAGAGAAGTTGGTTAGGGTGTTCAGTAAAAAATAAAAAAATATGGTATTTATTTTTATATTTGCCGAAGTTTCATGCATTTGATTTCAACAAAACTTCAACCATCCTAGTAGCATTATTTATTAGTATCATTCATAGTAGGTATTCCCCATCTCTTCGATATTCTTCCTCCTCCCCCTCCCCAGTAACTCCATCCATTTTTTTTTTTTTTTTTTTATGTTCCTCCTTTTTCTGTAACAACTTTCTCATTTTCATTTATTTTTTTGTTATTATTGATTGTTTTCTTTAATCTCGTGTTTTACTTTTATTTCAGTCATACTCCTTTATTATTTATGATCTCTGCTCTACACCTTACTATCCTCAGATACTCTATTTCCATTCATCTACACATTTATTTAGTATACAGATTTATTTACTAATCACATATAATTTATCTTCACTAAACCTCTCAACCATTATATACATTTCTATGCTTTAGTTCACGGATTTCTATTAACCGTTACAGTGGATGATATGTTAATTCCACTGTTTCCTGTCCAAATAATCTTGTCTTGCGGGAACCTCTCATGAGTCCAGGTTGGTCTTCTTTTATCTCAGTATTCTCCTCATTTACCTTTTTCTTTGCTTTCTTTTCTATATCCCTGTCTCTGTTTTGTGCATATTGATACATTTAGTCATTATATCTTATTTTAATAATTTACATAATTTTAACTTTTTATTTCTCTTCTATGTAGTCAGTATATTTTCATAGATTTTACTGTATCTTAATTTTTCTATTTAAATCTATTATTTTCTTTATATAAATTCATATTCCTTTTCTCTGTTTTAAAAATTATTATTATTATTAATATTTTTTTTTTCATACGTTAACAGTTTCATATTGTTATCTGCTCTTTTATTAGCCCTGATGAAGGCCTGAACTTTAGGCTGAAACATCAGCAAATATTAAAATAAATATTATTTATTTATTTTTAATTTGTTTTGTTATTTACTGAAACCAAAATCTCTCCAATTATTCACTACAGCCAACCATTAATCCACTGTTAAACTCAATTATATTTAATAACAGTTCTAGGAAGACGTCTGTTTTCTCCAGAATCCTTAAAGATCACCAGTATTTCCAGAATTACTTTTTCTTTTTTTGATATCGCAATTGATATAAATAGATGTAAAGTTTAATATCCACTGTTAAACTCTGAATGAAGGGAAGGCTCAAGAGAAGCAAAATTATTTATTCAATCTATGTCTGGTACTGGGTTTTCTCCAAACCCCGATTCATTATCGTTCCATTCCCTCTCCAATTTCAATAGCAATTTTTTACTTTCACTTACCTATATATGTAATATATAGTTAGGGAAAGTATAGATTAGGGAAAGAGAGATCTCTTAACTAATTAAGAGATATCTCTTAGTTCTTACTATTGTCATTATTCTACCAACTTCATTTTACTTTAATTTTTTTACCTACATTTTTTTACATTACATATTTCTCACATCTTGTTATCTGGTTCTTTTCTTAGCCCTGATGAAGGCCTGAACTTCAGGTCGAAACATCGGCAAATGTCAAAATAAATATTATAATTTATTTTTGCCTTCTTATTTGACTGATCACCCCAACTATTCTTCTCTTCATTATTCAGGGCAGTCAACCATTTACCCACAATTAACCATGTTAATTGCAATACACTCTTAAGATTTTATTAGTTCTGTTCTTTATATTTGATATGTCATCTTCCAATACATAAATATTATTATCATGTTGCAAGAGCTCAATATTTGATAAAATTTTTCTTTCTTGAATCCTAATGCTAATTATTACTGTTTTGCTAGCTGCCATCTAGGAGACTGTGGAGAGGTAATGTTGTTAAAACAGGGTTGTAAAAGTTGTTTTCCTGTCAGGAAAATTGGAAATATGTTGGTAATTCCATAGGGTCGGAATTAAGCCAGGAATTTCCTATAAGTTTTGCAAAAGTTGACAAAGTTGTCGTTAATTCTAAACTATAACTTCTTGATGTTGGTGCGTACTACCGGTGGCTTGTGTGGTTTTCAATTGTGCTATAAGGCAAAAATTTAGATCGTTAAATATCTAGAAAAAATTGCCATGTATTGGGTTGTCCAGATTTTGAGTTTTCTTTAAAATACCCCTCTATACAACAAAATGTTTACGTTAGCTGGATTATTCATTTGTATGAATGTCAACACTTATTAATCCTCTTCCAAACGATAATGTTTGTTTACCTCTGTAGCATTTTACAGCTTAGAAATAATTCAGTCTTTAATAACATATCAATGCGTGATTTTCATATAATTTTGTTTTACAAATGTAAGCTTGGCCGGAATGGAGCCCAGGCGGCCTGAAATATCAATCAAGTCTGGGATGAGAACAGCATTAATGAGTGCACTGTTCAATAAATTTCAGGAGGGAGACTTCAGCCTTGAAGACAAAGAAGGTCGTGGAAGGACTTCCTCTCTTGATGACAATGTTCTGCTGGCTTTGGTAGAAGAAAATCCCAGAACAACTGTTCGAGAACTTGCAGGGAAACTTGGCCTTAGAAAATCGACCGTCGATGACCACCTCAAGGCTATTGGAAAAGTTAAAAAGCTTGAAAGTTGGGTTCCACACACATTAAATGACTGTCAAAAACCAGCGTTATGAAGTTTGTGCTACACTTCTTTGCTGAAACATAAATGACCCTTTTTTGTCCAGAATTGTTACTTATGATGAAAAGTGGATACTTTACAATAACAGTACACATTCTGGACGGTGGCTCGACAAAGGAAAAGCAGCAGAACATTTTCAAAGCTCATAAAAAAAAAAACATGATAGTTACTGTTTGGTAGGCTTCATTTGGTTTGATACACTACAGATTCTTAAATACTGGAGAAACCATCAATGTCAAATTGTATTGTAACCAAATTAATGCAATGCATCAGAAATTGGCAATAATGATGCCATCTTTGGGTTTGGTAGCAAGACAACGCCCTTCAATATGTCTCACATGTGCATCACAAAAACTGTTGGAACTTGGTGTGCAACTTTGCCACATCCGTCCTACTCTTCGGACCTCTCATCTATGGATTATCATTTTTTTTAGACACCTAGACCACTACTTATGTGACAACAAATTTAATGGACAAACTTAATTATAAAATGCGTTTTTGGAGTTTATCAATTCTAAAGATGGGAAATTCTATTCCGAGGGAACGTAAAAGTTGCCAACACTTTGGCAGAAATGTATTGATAGTAGTGAAGACTATTTTGGTTAAATAAAACAGTTGCAAATCTTGCTTTTTTCTTTTTTAACCATCCACATTATTTTCCGGACACCCCAATAGTTGAAAATTATAATTGTGTATGTGTAAGAGTGTTTCTGTTTATGTTTTGAATCTTTATTTTATTTATAATAATTTATGTTCTAGATCTTTTGCTCTTGGTATGTGTAATAAAATTTCTGATATGATTCGAGGATTAGCTACCCCTGCTCATATGAAATTGCAACTCATTCCCATATTACAACATATGCACCATGATACATCCACTGCAGCTATGGTCAGTAATAATATTTGTTTTAATAGATAATCATGGTGTATTTATTTATTTTATGATTCAAGAAACTTTAAAATTCTTCTATAATTCTTTCTCAATACTTGATTGATGTTTTATAGGTCAGAACAGTATGCACAGACTTGTTACCTAAATATCCTGCAAAAGACTTTGTGGTTACAACATTAAATACATTGACCAAATTGGCTGCTTCTACTCTGGTTGATATACCTAGTCAAGTAAGACAACTGATTTTCCATCCTCATTTTTTATTTAAAACAGTTTATAAAACTGTATAATTTTATTATGACAGACCTGAGAATTCCATAATTACTTAAATCCGGAAAATTGTCTTCTCTAGCTGTTGTTTATAAACTATAATTTAGTAATTAAATTTGATCATTTACCAAGTGATTGTAACCATAGTAAAATAATTATTTTATTTTATTATTTCTTTTAAAAATTTGTATCTTATTAACAACTAAAGTTTAGTAGTGATTCCTAAAAAATTGATAAAACATTACTTGATTAAATATAACTTAAATAAAAAAATGAAATAAAAATGTTATTCAAAACCCAAGAGAACTGGATGCTATGGATAAAAGATTAAAGTCAGTGCTCAGAGCCATGAAGACGTGATGGACGAGCATGGTTTAACATTCTTGAGTTTAATGACATCAGTTAGAATCCAGCCTGAACAGGTTAAAATTTATTTCATTACAGACCCACGGAATGAATCTCCATGTTGAAAGATGGGTGAAAATAGTTGAAAACAATGGACTTTAGTTGGAAGAGTAGTATTCAGTAATGTTTAAAGTATATAATATAAAATAAAGTTATACTTATGCACCAGGACCTTTCTAACAACCTAGTAAATGTGTAATTGTTAAATCTATCAAGGTCACTATACTCATCAAACTAACTGTCTATAATGGCCGTTGTCGTTATATTGAGTGCAAAGAAGGATAATAAATAAAATTCAAACCAAATGGATTTAAAACAATGTTTTTTTGTTTTCTTTTAAAGAAAAACATACCAATACTATTTAGCATCTGTAATTTATACTATTATGGATATTAATATTTTTTAGTCAGAGTTTATCGAATCATAGTGGATCCACAGAATAATCTCGACGTTCCCTCTCTGGTTTGAATAGGTTTGATTGTACCTCTAGAACAACACAACTCCTCCTCCGGTTTGTCAGAAATAGTGAGGTAGAGAGTAATCCAATAAATAAAATGTTGAGTTCATTAAGAGGATCCTCAATTAATTTTTAAAATTATTTACGTTTTCGAGTAAAATTGGCTCTAATAACGGAATATTGCGACTTCTCTTGATTGATTTTGTCTTGAGTAGATCGTCATTTTTTTTTTCACCACGTTCAACATGCTGTTGAATAGATTCACAATTTTTCCAAATTGTTGAAAGACATGTTTTATTCTTGAACCGGGCTACATATGGACTCTTTGCTATTGTTACATTTCTTTTTCTCCGACATAAGAGTGCACCGCAGCAGGATCCTACCATTTTGAATCCGAAGTCTCCTCATAAGTAGCTCCTCCGGAATTTTCTCGCCAGGGCAGTATGCCTCTACTCTGCCAGCTTTTTTTGAGTTCTTCGACACTATAAACTAGTCTTTGGTAGCTTGATCATCACAAACCATGATATATCTCTCCAGATGGTGGCTAAAGGCACTAAACTCAGGGATGATGCAACCCACCTCAAGCTGATCAACAGATTTGATCACCTGGGCTTTTACTTCCTCACTCCTCCTTGGTTAGCTGAACAGATGGATATCCACAGGGAATAATTGCTACCCTACTGTCCCCAGCCGCTAAAACGTAGGAAATTGCACCAGCCTCTCCGCTTCTGACCGAAGCTTTTTGGACTGGCTCGGGCTCTTCACTAACTGGTGCCTTTGCAGCCGGAACTGCTGTAAACGGTAGCTCAGTTCCTGACTTTGACTCGAGCCTCTTCATCCTCTTTTATTTTCTTCTCTGCGCACCAGAGAATTCGGGAACACCAGTTCCACCAGCCAGACCCTTAGCCTCATCTATTATTACAGACAGCTGGGAAACTTGGACTTAGATAGTCTCAAACGAACTTCTTGAATTATTCTCAAGAGGATACATCGATGGCCCTCCCAGTATCTCCTAACCACTTCCTTCTCCAGCAGTTCTGTGTCCAGTGCCGGGTCTTTGACATTGTTGTCTGCCTGTTTTTTAATATTATGTTGTGCTTGCAGTTTGTTCCCACTAGTATGGGGATGGAAAAAGGTCACTACAGGTACTACCCCCTCTCCCTGCAGAAGACAATTAATTACAATGAGGTGCGCCAGGTGCCCCAAGTGGGTCAAATTGACAGTGTATATTTATTTAAGACCCCCCTGCCACGGCTTGAGCTCCCTCCACCTAGCTTGGCTGTCATAGAAGGATCCACACAACTGCTCTCTAAATTAGAGGGCAGAAATGTTGATCTCCATCTCTATGTCGTTCACGAATCTCTTTGGACTCAACGGGGGGGTGGGGGGCACCACAAGGTGACAATAGGCGTTGATAGGAATAGGGAGGACAGGGAAGTCACAATCAGTGGGTAAGGCACTATTGCTTGATCATTCCGCAAGAAATAGGTGAGATTCCCGCATCCATCTCCCTTTCCAGCCCTCCTGTTACCCTACCCATTCCTCCCCCCCCCCATTATTATTACATTTACTTGAATAACCTCAAAATTTTCATTATACAACAAAAAAACCGAGCTTTAGGGGTCCACAAGACCATTGAATTCTCTCCGTATCTATTCCTTACAATCCAAAATTCTCCATAGAATTCTTAATGCTTCTTATTATTTCAGAAATAAAATTATCTATAAAGATTTCAGCAGATTTGGACCCAAATAGATATACCTATTTTAATTTCAAACTCCTTGGCCACCCAAACCCTCTAGTTCATAATTTTCATCCCTAACTGTTTTGTTTCTGACAACCCTAAAGAAGATGGCCAAGGGACCTCATATATTAACATAACCATTGTAGTGCTCCTTAATCAGTAGTTGTTTCACAAGCTACTGTCATGTTTTATATTTGTATAGCAGATTTACTTATTATATTTTATTTGTAAATTCAACAAATAATAATAAAAAAATAATATAAAAAAAAAAAAAGATGAACTTGTTGAAAAACTGTTAAGAATAAGCTGATAGCAGCATGCATGCTTTGGTTAGGACCTCTATTTTCAGCCTTGGAAAAGGCACAAAATAATTTCATAATTTATGTAAATTAAAAAATAAATCAAGTCAATTAACTGTTTCAGCCTCCTGTTAAAATTGTTATCATTTCCACATAGAAATTTCAATTCCTCAGAACTTTTATTTTGTTTATTTTTAATTATATTGTCAGGTAGAATTGTTACTGGAATATCTGGTGAAAGACAAACGTTGGGCTGTTAAAAAAGCATCTTTGACTGGTTTACATCAATTAGCCAAAGTGGGACCTCACTTATGGCCGCAGACTTGTGTTACAAAGACAATCCATCTTGCAAGGAATTCACATCATGAAGCAGTTATAAGTCATGCACTTGATATATTCATAATTCTTACAAAATCTCCAGTTATCTGTCAAGAATATGTTGATTCAGGTATTTATAGAAAAAAAATAAATTCCAAATATATTTTATTGTTCTCATGTATATTTTATTCTCATATTTATCTAAACCGTTTTTTCAACCTGTAAGAAGAGCCAGCAATATTTCATTGAGTTTAATACAGGGATTTCCAAACAGGGAAAACTGGGAAAAGTCAGAAAATTTCATTATTCTGGAATTGAGAGCGATTTTAATTTATTCATCAGAAATTCAGGGAATTTTCTGATAATTTTTGTCTCTCTCTCCTCCCCTCCAAAAAAAAAAAAAAAAAAAAAAAAAAAAAAAAAAAAAAAAAAAAAAAAAAAAAAACAACTTCTACTACAACCCTTGGAGGTTCTTGTGTTCAGTACTTTGTAAGGAAATACAGTTTCCAGGTCAATGGTTGTGTAAGGAGGTGATCACTCAACTCAAATCAACTGCTAAGTATTTTCCTTTAATTTATCATTTAATTAAGAGCATTCACTTAATAAAGGCTGGGTGGGCCCCCAAGAGGTTCTCCTCATCCCAGAGTTGAACCACAGCTTGTGCAACAGAATAAATAAATTACTTGCCACAGTCGCATTCAAACACAGTAACAGGAGCATTGAAGTTCAATGCCCCTTCCTCACTTAAAAAAAATAAATAATAATAGGACTATAATACAATTGCAAGGCTGATCAACTGTATTGAGTTTTAAATTGAAACAGCATACTATTTAATAGTATTCAATAACAATAAAACATAGAAAGGGGTGAATTAGTCCGGACTATTACCATAAATACTGAATTTTAAGATTGTTTTATTTTCTTAGCTTTTCCAAAAATTTTACTTTTTTTTAACCTGTTAACCGGGGAATTCCCTATTTAATTACGCAGCACATAACGGGCGTGAACTCTTTCACTAGGAACTCTCTCAGTAAGTCATGCCTGGAGAACGTAATTTCATATTATTACTTTTTTTTATTTATGCTTAAAATAAATAAAAAGACTATGAAATATATATGTCTTCATTTATTTATATATATATATATATATATATATATAGCACAAAGGAAATATCGAATTAAGAAATTATAAATTTTTATGCATTTTTTCAAAATATTTGCAGTTTTATGAATTGAGATTGTAAGCTGTTAGTTATAGTGTCAGTTCTAAAAGAAGAGGTGTAGATAGCTGTGTCATCTACATATAAAGAGTATTCTACTGAAGGAATGGAAGGGAGATCTGAGATGTATAGGCTGAATAGTGTAGGAGAAAGACAGGAGCCTTGAGGGAGACCTGTAGATAGGAAATGGATTGAGGAATGGGCATTTTATATTGTAATGCAAAAGGATCTATTGTTGAGATATGTGTGAATGAGGTAGATTATGTAAGGTAGGAATTTATATAAAATGAGTTTATGGATAATGCCCTCATGCCATACTGTGTCAAAAGCTTTTTTTATGTCTAGGAGGAGCATACCGACGTGCTTATTTTCATTGAACGCTTTGGTAATATAGTCGGTCAGTATGGCTATTTGGGCTACTGTTGAATGCTGTTTTCTGAACCCGAATTGCTCGATAGATATCAGACTATTTTGAGATACAAGGCTCAGTATTCTTTTTAAAAGTAGTTTTTCAAAAAGTTTTTTTTATTCAGTCTTCATGTTAATTAAACTATTAATAAATATTTTTGAATATTGTGAAAAAATGTTTTTATTTAAGATAAAGAAAAGGCAGGGAATCCAACCTATTTTATTTTTACATAATCTATGTTTTACTAAGTACAGCAATTTGTAGTATATGATACATACTTAATTTTCATATGAACTAATTTCTTTATAAAACTCTTAACTATTATGATTTATAAAATTTAATATTAAATTCTATTATTTTCTTTATTTATAGATTCAGAACTGATGAAACTTTGCCAGGAAACTTGTTATTCTAGCAACTGGTTAATCTCTGCCAAATCTGTCAAAATATTAACAAACATGGTTAATTTTTGGTATGTGTTTTTATTTGTAGTTTCTCTTTGAGAATTGATGTAGAATAACTCTGTTTAAAGGAATAACTCTTTTGGGTGAAGATTGATGTGGGAGATAAACTGTCAAATACTCTATCTTAAATTTTTATAACATTTTTATTTTTATTACATTATTTCGATCATGTGCACTAATTTGTAATTTGGTTGTTTAAACTACAAACTACTTTTAGTTTATTGTATAGTACACTCTAATAACAATGTATACTACATTTCAAGATTTAATAGTTTATTTTTCTTCCTTACTTAGCAATTTTTTCACTAACTTGCCTAGATTAAAAAATGTTATGCAGGAAAATCTCTTTTGTCAGTGTTTATGTCTGCTAATGACCAGTTATATTCTATATCACTGAGATGGTTAAATTAGAATCAAGTATTTAGAATAACTTAAACCTTCTATCACAGAGCTATTCAAAAAGAACTGATCTTTATTCCAATTACTAACCAGTCGGCAATAAGTAATAATCTCTGTAATTGAATGGAGCCACGTACATTGTTCTGCTGGTTAGTAACCCTTCAGTAATGAGTTATTAATCAGTCACTGCCCACTCAACTTGTCAAGTCACTTGGGATTTCAGTTATCAGTTTTTCTTTTTTATTTACATGTTATTTTCTTACTTATTTTGACAATTCATGGCTTTGGTCTGAAAAGATTCTGATTGCATTTACTATAATTTTGAGAAATAGAGCTCCAAAGTTACAATTTACTGTAGTACGAATATTTTGTTATTTACTCTAACAATTTTGTTTCTAATATACCTTAAAGCAGTGAACTAATATTTGCTTCATCAACATTCGTTAATGACTTAATTGTACCAGTTATTAATATCATTTTAAATATTGAACTTTTTTAGTTAGACATTGTTATTCAAGAATGCATTTTCATGATTTTAAAACTATAACTATATTGAAAGCAATATTTTATCTATATTCATGTAGGAAGTATTTTATCTTTGCTTTAAATCCTTTATCAATCAGGATCACAACCGGCCCATTGACAAGACAAAATGAGCAGATAGAACTAGAGTTGGAACAATATTTTGGTACATGGTACAATTATCTGTTTGTAGTTTTTTTCATTTCTTATTTTGAATAATAAATCTTTGTGATTAACCAAGAAAAAAATCCTCAAATTTAGGGTTTTAACATTATTCTGGGACTAAGCCTCTTAATAATAACAGAAAGTTACATTACAAAAGAAATAAATCTGGCCAGAAGAACTACATTAAATAATAAAAGTTACATTAAATAAAAAGAAAACCTTATTTAAACTAACAAGATATTTAGAAATATAAAACATACAAATAAAAAATGAAACAAAATAATCGCTGCTTGGTTAAAGAAATAAAGAAGATAGGGAAAAAACCCAATAAATATTAAATAAATTCTCCTAATAGATGAGCACGAAGTAAAAATAAATAATGTAAAGTAAAATATGAAGAAATAAAGATTTATGAGAAGGAGTTAGTCGAGGGTGCGGTCAAATAAATAAAAAATTAAAATATATTAATTATTTTAATTTTTGCCGACGTTTCGACCCACTTTGCAGGTCGTCTTCAGGGCTACAAAAGATACAAAACATGTTGAAAATAAAAAATAAATATAAGTATATATAAAATAAGAAGAAGTTGTCAGATACAGAAATAAAAGATGGTATCAGAGATATAGTGGGTGACAATGTAGTTAAATATTAAGAATTATATATGTAGAAGATACAAATAAATAGAAAATAAGTAGGAATAAAAATAAAAATAAAGGAGAATATAGCATGTAAGTTAAAAGTAAACAGATTGCGATAAAAGATAAAGATGTAATAGAGATTACATTAGATAACTGTGGATTAACAGATAAAGAAAATAAATACATGAATGTTAACGAATAAATAATGAATTCGTTAACATTCATGTATTTATTTTCTTTATCTGTTAATCCACACTTATCTAATGTAATCTTTATTAGTTTGTTATACACTTATTTCTTATCTTTTATCGTAATCTGTTTACTTTTAACTTACATGCTATATTCTCCTTTATTTTTATTTTTATTCCTACTTATTTTCCATTTATTTGTATCTTCTACATATATATTTCTTAATATCTAACTACATTGTCGCCCACTATATCTCTGATACCATCTTTTATTTCTGTATCTGACAACTTCTTCTTATTTTATATATACTTATATTTATTTTTTATTTTCAACATGTTTTGTATCTTTTGTAGCCCTGAAGACGACCTGCAAAGTGGGTCGAAACGTCGGCAAAAATTAAAATAATTAATATATTTTAATTTTTTATTTATTTGACCGCACCCTCGACTAACTCCTTCTCATATTATATCAACGGTCAACCATCTCTACATCAAATTAAGATTTATTTATTATATCTTAGTAAAAATGAAATCATTTATAAAAAAAACAAAATTGTGAAAATAAATACATTAAGCAACTTTAATAGCATGGAAAACAAGTGCAACAGAAACAACATTGCCTGAAAAATATATATACAAGTTCATAAGTACACATATGTAGATACAAGAACATGAGAAGAAAATATATATATGTAGATAAACATTGATTTTATTTTAAACATGGCGCTGAAACTTAACATGTGCTTATCCATTTTCTGACTGTTTTGTAAATAGGAATTGGAATAGAAGGGTTTTAAAGGTGGATAATGAGGGAGTATTTTTAAAGAGAGGGAATGCAACAAATTAGTAGAAAGGGCAACAAAGGAGTTTTGGAAAGAGGCAGATCTGTATAAAGGGCAGAATGTCGGGATCTTATGATAAGAGAGTAGACAGAGGACTTGAATTGGAGAAGATCTCAAGCATAGAAGGTGTGATGGCTGTTGATGGATAATGTGATAAAGAAATTTACTATAAATCAAGTATGGGTGATAAATAGTCAGGCCGTAGTCATTATTATTTTTTTTATTTGTGCCAACGTTTCAACCCAAACATGTGTGTCATCTTCAGGGCTGAAAATTTTAAAATATAATCAGAGATATAATATTATACGACCAATAATGGTAAATAATAAACTATAGTGATTGATGGTACATGAATCTTAACTATTACTACAATACAAAATATTAAAAATTAAATATGTAAATAGTTATACAAACTAAAAATTAAAAAATAATGCATATAATCCATTTATACAAATTTGTAATATTTTCTCTTACTAACCGTGGTTTGAGCATTGAGGGTGTTCAAGTACTATTTATATGTGTTCAAGGAATATTAATCACCCATGATATATAGAACAGTCGACTAACTTCCTTCAGTAAATAATAATAGTTTGTCTGAGTTGATCTGATTGTCAGTAACCAACACCTGAGATAAATAAATATATTAATTCTCTTATAATCTTGTTTATTATTAAACAACCTCTTATTTATTTTGGAAGTATCCTAACGGTATAAAGTGATTATCCGAGGTTATATTATTATTATTATTTGTAAAATATAAGAGAGATGTTACACTGTATTGAGAAATTTGATATTCATTCCATGGATCCGCCAGAAAAGAAATTGAAATCTGCTTAATCGGCACTGCTACCGACAGCTAAAATAAAAGCTAAAATGGGTAATGTTTATTCATCACGCCCTCAAAATAAATTATTTTATGAGAACTTAATTTAAAAATTAACAATTAAGTAGATGAAATGTAAAAATATCCAGTTTCATACAACTTCAAACTTAATTGAGAGGAAATCAGTTGTGTTAATTCTAAATTACTCTCTTAAGACATATGAAACATAGAAATTTTGCATCCAAAATTTGTATTTCTTGCAAATAATTGGCAATTTTATTTTATTTTAAATTATGGATAATTCCTTAATCTTTTCCACATTCTATTTCTTTAATGTTATAAAGTAATACTGATTCATCACTTGGATTGACACTACAATCATTATCCATAGTTACGAGGAATACTCATATTCTTTCATCCATGGCAGATAGTAGACTGTTGATTTGAAACACTCGGGCTCATATGTGGAACCACATCTCTATCAAGTTTGTAGCTGGCAATTTAAAACAATATCCAGTTCAATTTTCTTTGAATAGCTTCCTTGTGCAGAGGGCCAGGTTATATATATTATTATTATTATTTAATGGAATTATGCTAACATGTCTTTCTAAATTCTCAGCAAATAATTATTTCTTAAATTGATGTGATAATGGTACCGTTCATGTTTACAGTTTTTAATTTCAAAAATTGATGTTTAACAATGTCTAGTTTTATCACAAAAATCATTCTTAAATATCTTATTTGTGAAACTATTAAACTGAGTTTGACACAAATTGTTGGATTCATTAATTATTAAACAAACCCGTAATCATAACAAGTTTGATGTTTTTAAAAATTTCATTATATAGAAAAGATATTGGAAAAAAGTTGTTAGTAAATTTTACAAGTCCTTGAGGAAATCCATAGCATGAACCAGCATTTTTTTTTCTTGTATTATTTTTCAGTTTTCAAGAGGGGTTGCCTATTTCTGATGTGGAAGAACACCTTAGCACTGTGGAGTCCTTGTTACTGTTACTTGTTACATGCAACAAAGGAGACATTGAGAAATATGTACTCACCTCTTGTCTACAAAGTGCTGTGACATTATGCAAGGTTCATAAACCACTTGCTAACAGATTTATTGAACTCATAGCATCACAACTTGAAAATGCTTCAGGTATTAATTTTTATTAAAGCTATACATAATTTTATGAGAAGGAGTTGGTCGGGGGGTGCCGTCAAATAATTAAACAATACTATTTTAACATATAATATTTATTTGACTGCACCCCCCTCCCGCCCCCCAACCAACTCCCCATATTGTAATCGCAGTCAACCATCTCTACATCATTATAAATTATTTTAGTTTTATATAGCACTCTTTTTGAAGAAAACCAATGCATTTCAAAAATTTACACATTTTACATAACAAATATCTTGTTTATTATTACGCAAAAGTGGAAAATTGTTATTTTTTTAATGTACCATCTTTCTTCTAAATATTTATATATTCTCATATATTCACTCATTAACAAAAATCTATTAAAAGTTAATCTTTGAGTTTTGCCAGTATTCTCCCGACTTTTTCAATACATAGATTTACTGTTTTTATTTTTAGAAGAATCAAGTTTGCTATTATGCCAAGCGTTAGGAGGAATTGGAAGTTTAGAACCTGGAGTATTAGAGCCTTATTTGTGTGATATCACTAAAAAGATTCAAGAAATTTGCATTTCTTCTATGTGTGATCACATTTCAACGAAGGTAAAGTTGAAATTTTTCTCTTGGTTATATATGATTAAATAAATGAACTTTTTTTTTTTAAGAGAATAATTTTTTGTCTTATTAATCATTCTCTGTAAATTTAGGATCAATGGCTCCAACTCATGTATTATTTTTAGATGGGTATATTAGTTATCATTTCAGTAGTTAATGAAGCCTCGGACTGCTAAAATTGTTATGACTAAATACCAATGTCTCTAGTTTTGCTTCCTCACTACCGAAGATTATTGCAAAATGTTGTATGTAAAAATTTTCAATTTTTATTCTATTATTAGCATTTTGTAGTCTGCAACTGATATAGCAGAGGGCAATAAAATATGAAATTGTACAAAGAAATTATTAGTTTTTATGTTCTCATATAAAATATTCAATTTTTACTTAAGACCTTTTGCACTAATAGTAGCGATATACAATCAGCAAATGCGAAAATCTTTCGAATTGCATTATTCGTGAACTCGTGATTACCAAACCCGAATATGTTGAGAGGTTAGTATATTTCCGAAAACGGCTTCTCCCAGAGGTTTTATTATCTTACGAAAAAGTTTAGACCTAGTAATACACATATTTTTTAGCCAATGAAAATGGTGAGGAAGCCACACTGGCCTTACTTGGACTTTTTTTTTGCTAAAACTGTTACTGTTGTTCTGCATGTCACCTTTCTGTATATTTATCATAATAAAACCATGATTTGATTACAATTATCCCATTTTTACTTTCACTTAATTATATAAAATATATAGTAAAGTAAATTTTGTGATAGTGAAAATTTTCTAATCTGTTTTCAATAAAAATATACATTTTGAAGTCTCCGGAGTCCATATAACCAAGTTCCACAAAATAGTTTGTGTGTGTTAATTGTCAAAAATGAAGAGTCGTACGAAAGTGAAATTGCATATTTAAGGTTTGTATATGTCTGGGATGTTAAAGCAACTTTTTCGTCAAAAACAACTAACCTGAAATAGCACTTTATATCATGATTTAACCCATTTATATGATTTTCTCGAAAATGGCTCTTACAATTTTTATTAAATTCTTTATATCAGTGTAAAATTAACCAGTTTTTAAGATAATATAGGTTTTATTCTCATTGATGTTCTCTAACAGGGCTTAAATGGCTAATTTTCTATATTTCTTCCTCTAAAGCACCTTTAATTTTTTTTTATTTGAAATTATTAACCATTGCACATTGAACTCTGATATAAAAAATAGTTGAATGTTTAAGAATTTGATAATTAATGAAAAGATAAATAAGAGATCCTAACGTAGAATAGTTGTAATGGAGGGACCTAAGGAATACGAGTTCGCCCAAGCTCGCCTTAAAGATTAGAACAGGCTTTCACATGTAACATGAGCTTAATATAATATGGATTCCGACAATGTTATGTACATATACATTTGTGGTTTCCATAAATGCTATCACTAATGTCATGTACATATACATTTGTGGTTTCTGTAAATGCTATCACTAATGTTATTTAATATTTAATTGTGTAGATTACAGCAATATAAATATTAAAATTTGTATATATATATATACATATATATATTGGTACTTAAACAAATATAAATAAATATAGCAGCCTTCTTTAATGAATAAATACCCTGTTGTGGTCAGAGCAAAAGTCGTACTATTGCTCAGTCACAGTTAGTTGGCATTCTAAGAGCAAACTCAAGCATCACCAGGTTGAACTTAGCACTTTGTTTTTTTCTTAATCTCTATTATTGCATGACAGAATTTTAAAAATCTCGTGCGCACAACACACTACTTTCACTTACCGCTCTACTTTGAATAGAAATTTAAATGAGATGCTTTCGTATTTGTTACAAAAACGTTTCTATAGTAAAGAAAAGGAATGTGGTTAGAGCGATCGAGGATTTCTTTTTTGTTTCTTGAGGATTTTTTATGTTGTTTCTTTTATGTGTACATATGTTCTTTGTAATCTTCATGGTGTTTCTTTTATATATACATATGTTGTTTAAGTGGTTTTTATTATTTCATTTATTTTTATATATATGTTATAATTAATGTTTTTACATTATATATAATGTATAACATTATATATAATGTAAAACATTATGTATAATGTTTTAGTCTATTCAATATATATGTTGTAAAATAAAAGTATTTTTTATTATTACGTTTGTTTTTGTTTTTGTTTATAATTTCAATAATATGAATATAATTAATACAATAAATATGAATACAAAGATAGGAATTATGAGTGCCTTTCTAGAATTATCAGTGTTAAGTTTATAAACATTGGCATATAGCAGTCGGACCCGATCGGCTATTTAAGGGGTGCCGAAAATTGTAAAATTGTGTGTCATCGTTGATATAAAGTGGCACTTCATGTTATCTGATTTTAAGGAAAAAATTGCTGTAAAATTTCAGTCATATACCTATCTTAAATATCAGTTTTGTGCGGCTTTTCGTTTTTGAGCTAGACTGTTCTCAGAAACACAGACCATTTTGAGGGACTTGATAATTTGTTCTCAAGGGACCTAAAACGTGTATTTCTGTTGAAAACTCAGATTCACGATCGCTATACTTTCCCTCACTATATATTACATATGTAGGTAAGTAAAAGTAAAAATATATACTAGCTAGCTGATCCTTGCAAAGATTTCGCATAAACTTAATACATTGTGTTGAGTACAAGTGTAATTATTTATATTCTCTAATATTTGTTCGCCCAGGATTTTGTACATATATTTATAGCCATCTTTTTCTTCTCTATCTGTTTTGTATTTATGGAAAATTCAGGATTCAGCAACAGTTTTTCACTGATGCCAAAATGTTGTGATATTCTAGTGTCTTTTCTCAAACACAACCTCTTTGTCTTCCTCAAAAGGGAAATAAAAATCTTTAGATGTTCAACAGGTTTATATGATTTCATATAGTTTTTTCTTAAGGTATGCTTTCAGATCCTCGGAGTTCAAATTACAAAGTCTCACCAAATGGTATGTTAATATTAATATCTAGATATTAATTAATACTATTAATATCTAACATACAGAGTCGTGAAAGGTAATGGAGAGTGACAAAAAAAGTCATGAAAAATAATATTATTTAATGGAGACCGAATGTTGCCATGGAAGCTTTTACAATTATCTTTAAGCTTGACAACCCCAAAACATGTAATAAATTGAATTTTGTCATTCTGAAATTGTTTAAAAACTATTTTATTTACTTTAATGAGAGAAGTTCGTGCCATTTAGAATATTTGAAGTGGTGTTTACAGGTTGATAATACTTATGCTAATATGTTTTTATAATTTTAGCTAAGAAGATGTTAGATTTAAATATTTACTAGCACTATTTGAACAAAAATTGAATTATTTAAGTAGTCTGGTAAGTGAAAGTTGTGTGTGCACCAAATGTTTTGATTAATGTAAACATATCAATGTTTATTTTCAACTTCTTTTGTCTAAATGTATTATATGTTATAATTTTTTTTTTAATAATTATCACAGGTAATGTTGTGCACCATAATTTTTCAAACAATACGTCCATCATATTGGGATGAGGAATTACAGGCATCTGTAGATCTAGTTATTGAAAATTCTGACCTATGGGCTAACTATAAAGTTGCTCGAGCTGCAGCAAGGTGAATTTTTATGTATTTATATATTATGTTGTAATTGGAAAAATTCCAACCAGCCTTATGTATCCAAAGAGCAGATAAAAAAAAAAAGTCAACATTTCACCAATTCAAGCATCATCAGAATAGAAAAGAAACGCAAATCAAGATCAAATCCCTCCATGACATCCAATCACATTGGAATAGATGTGATTTCATCTTCGATTTGCCTTTCTTTTCTGATGATGGTTGAATTAGCGAAACGACGGATTTTTTACTTGCATTTTGGAGACATAAGGTTATATAGTTGGAATTTTTCAATTATAACCTAACATTGGATTTCTATCTCTTGGTCAGATTTTTACTAATTTACATTCATATATATATATATATATATATATATATATATATATATATATATATATATATATATATATATATAATTCTAATCAAATATAACTAGTATCATTATAAAAATTTCTTTTTGCAGATATGGTCACTTTAAAGTTTGTAATAATGTCATAAAAAAGCTTCAGGGTAAAGTTTCTTCAGAACATTTACATTTTTGGCTAATTGCTCTGCAGCATATCAGTAATGCTGAAGCTTCATTAAAAAGTGAAGGTTCACAAATAGACCGATTAGAAAACGCTATTACTTATTATAATGCTGGCATCACATCATTGAGGGTAATATAACTAATGAAGATACTTATTCATTTTAATCTTTGCCTTTGCTTATTTGTTTCTATGCACTGTTTTTTTAAAAAAACATATTTTCTATAGTACCAATGATGAAATAAATTGTACCAACTAACTCTTTTTTGCTTTGGTTCTAAATAATATATCTTGAACTGGTTGGTATACTGTGTGATTTAGTCAACTCAACACAGTTGAGCAGCCATGCAATATTATTGTAGTTCTCTCTAGTTGTTATCTTTATTTAATTTTTAACTTTAATCAGTATTAACAGATAGTCTCACAAACATATTCCACTTAAAAAAAATCTTTTTAACTAGAAAAAAATATAGTTAATTTTTTAACATTATAGCTTTATTAGCCATTTTCAAAAATTTTAATTAAAAAAAAATCTTAAGATACCTTTTAATAGTCTACTGAATGACAACAATTAATTTTTTTTTTTTAAGATTAGTTCTCTCTTAATTTCAGATTTTCTTTATCAGTTGTGGAGGATCCACTTTCAGGATCCAAAATATATATATACAGTAAAATGAAACATTAGTTTCTTTCTAATCTACTAAATTATTTAGTTTGTAATAAATTAATTTAATGTTAATAATTATTTTAAACTTTTGTGTTCAAGGCTGGCAGCAGTCCTATCAACAGCCTATCTTTTCAAGCTGAATATTCTAGTTTGAGATGTGAATTACTGAACTGCTTTTCCCAATTAGTTTCATGTTGCAATAGTATTTGCTTTTCACCACCTCCAGCTATAGCTGTTGCTATAGTAACTGCTGCTAGAGATGAACTTCAACGATGTGGTCATATAACAAACCAGGTAAGAATAATCAACAAGGATTTATCACTCCTTCATACCATTAGTTTAAAATTAAAATAAGTAATTATAATAATAGTAAAAAGTAAGTAAACGCTTACAGACAAAAATTAAAACTATTTATAGAGTACAGTAGATAAATGAAACAGCATCTGGATAAAGGCGGTCAGTAACACATTTTAAGTTCTAAGAAAATTTAATTTTAAAGTATGACACACACTTATTTTTACCTAACTATATTGAAGCCACATGGAGGTTTAAGTTTGGGTTGTCCACTAAAAGGTATGTAGCAGTTTTTGAGCCGACAGCTGGACCAATTTTTAATTTTGTTGACTTAAAATTCTTTAGCGAGATCCCATGAGTGTTTTGAAGCAATCTGGGCTTGCTATATCCCTACTTAACATACTGCAATTTTCCTTTGAAGGTAACGACTTATTCCTAGCTCAGGCTGCCTTTAAATCCTTCAAAGTATTTATTTTTAGGTCATGAATTTTAATTATATTGCAAGTTCTGTTAGCCCTTACATAAGAAATTTTCTTGAATTCTGTCATTTGAGAGTATATATCTTTGTAATTAACTCCTAAATTCATCTATGCGTTTCTATTTTAAACTTCTTAATATCACATTTTCTTTTCTCATGTTTTTTCCCTATTTATTAAATCTAATTTTTTATCATAATTTTGAAATATTGGAAATGGTTATGCATATCCACTCCAAGATATTTTTGATTTGCTATACTTAAGTAATTTAAGTTTTAATAATTCAATTTTACTGGAATTTCCAAAAAATAATTCGAATGTTTTTTGATGTCTTCAAAAATAAATATAAAATTATTTTCCCTCAGCTGGACATTTCTATATTTTAAAAATATGAATAAAACATTTATAAGTGCCTATCCAAATGTTTATATTGAAATATTAGATATCCTGACAGCTTAATTAGTGATTTTTCTAAAAAGGAGAAGAAATGTCTATTGATGAAGGTTGTAAGTGTGGTTATCAACTTTACCCACTATAGAGCAAATGTGTATCATCATTTAACAACTTAATCAACTCAGTTCTGAGCCAATTATTGGATTTTTGTTATTGAAAGAAGGAAATTGTCAGTTTACACTTTTTATTGATTTAAACCTGAACGTATGTAGCTGTTAATTTCGATCATATTTATCGATAGAATAACTTATTAAGTGCTTAAAAATAATAATAATTTTATAAATAAAAAATAGTTTTACTGAGAGCACGATGTTCTTTTTCTTGGCCTTGATGAGGGCCTGAACTTTTGGCAGAAACGTCGGCAAATATAAAAATAAATATAATTATTTATTTTTACTAATTCTTTTTTAATGATCACCCCAAACATTCTTCTCTTCAACTATAAGAATATTAATATATTAAATTGAAATTTATAATTATTTTATCACAGGTATGGGTTACTGAAAATCAGATCAAATCACTCAGACAAACTTATATTAACTACACTAAACACTAAAAAATAAAGTCGATTATGAATTGGCAAGCTAATCTTTTTTGTATATACACTGTTTCTTCCTTTGAGGCACTGAATTCATTTGTCTTTAAACATTTTCCAAAGTTCTTCCAAACACACCTTCCAAAATGGTGACACATTCCTCTACTCAACTCAAGCTCCGTGGGAGATCCTCTCTTGTAATTCCAAACAACTAGTGCCCCAGCCAAACAATGACTGTTGGCTTTTTGTTGGATTTTTGTCCAAAACAAAAATCCTTTGTTCCTCTCCTTTTTGGGGAAACTACAGAGCAGCCATTTTCTTTTCCCTGAACCAGTGAAACTATTTTTCAAATATAAACATCCCCTGACATTAATAGAATTAGATAGGTTAGCTTGCCTTTAACTGTTCAACATTAATTTACTAAACCATTTTTAACATCTTTCAGTAAAGGTGTATATTACAATATATATACTTATTCATTTTTGTTTTTAGCTCCGTAAATGTGCGAAAGAGTTCCGTGCTTGTGGAGAATTATACTGGAAGCTATATCAGTCAGCATTTGATGCTGATCAAGGTTCACTTACAAATCTCCAAGTGTATCCTTCAACTAATTTAATAATATAAATGGGAAAGAAAAATGGTTCCATATTAAAAAAACGTTCTGTAGTATTTGGTATTTGCTAAAGTTTCGATCCTCGTTGCTAGTCTGCAGAGCAAATGAGAAATGAATAAGATCATTACTAAACAGTCTTCAACAGTGTTGTGCAAAAAGTAGTTTTACTGCAAATTGCAGATATACGCAGCTGTATTTGTAACTTAAGTTGTAGTTATAAATCTATGGTCTATGAAAAGGATTAACATATACATGGTGATAATTGGAAATTTTGAAATAGGTTATAAATAACGACTGCCTTTAAATGTAAAATAAAATGCTAAATACATACATACATATCTGATTGTGTTTTTACAAATATATAACACAAAATGAAAAATACGTAAGTATAGAAATCCTGAAAGTTGGTTTTAAAAATTTAAAATTTACTTATAAATTAACATTTAAAACTACATATTAATTCAAGGGACTGTTTTAAACATAAAATAATGCAAAATTTATGTACATATGTATGTATTTATTTTTTGATCAATAATGTGAATAGAGAAAAGTGATGATAATAAAATGTGAATATACTGCTACATTTTTTCTTTTCAAGAACAAGATTAATATTTTCCAAAAATATCTATATTTGTTACAAAATATTCCAATAATTGCAATAGTTGAAACAAAATCTTGGGGTAATGTTGATTAATACCTATTCTGGAATAACCATATTTTCCAAATTAGCCGAAAATCTATTGGTACCCCAAACACATTCTGAGATTCTATTCCCGGATAAAACTCTTAAGAGGTTGTACTCAGATACTTTCTTTAAACTAATTTAATCATCACTACTCGTTATGTCCGATACTAATGATGAAAAAGAGTAATCTTGTGCATAATATCCACAATAGGAAAAGTTTGAACAACATTACTATTATTACCAGAAACAAAAACCACAACTCAGAGATTTTGGATTAAGCAAAAGAAAATAGCTAGCCAAGTTACTCGAGTTGTTAAAATGGGAACTGCATTTAAAAAAAAAAACTTCCTGGTTAAATTAATCTCTAAAAATGAGCACAGTCAGTTGCAATAATAAAGAATAATTATGGAACAGTGCTGAGAAACCTTAACCTATACCAGTAGTCTACCCATCAAATGTTGTTGCGGGACTAATTAATTTACATTTATATTACTGATTTATTTATTTACATGAAGTTTACCTAATATAGTAGTTAGAGTTTGTACATCTATTATACTTGTTAGAAAGTTAAGGGATAAGTTCTTAATTCTTTCTGCTGCTTACTTATATTTCCTTAATTAAGTATAGTTTACAGCACATGTGCATGCTTATGGCCCATAGCATTGATTGTGTTGCTCTAGTCAATTATCAAGGCGATGAGCCATCTTTAGATTCATCGTAAGTAGATGCAACTTCCTTGAGTATGAAATCTAAAATTATATACTCCCACAATACTTACTTCATACTTTTCACTTAATTGCTTTCATTTTAGGCTTCAAGATTGTAATCTGGAGACAACTATTATGCTGGAGGCCTGTAAAGAAGCTAGTAAATTTATACAGCCTATGGAATTACCAAAAACAATAGTTCATCAGGTGGTAATATCTGTTTTTTCTTTTTTTTTTTTTTTTTACGTTTATGCACTATTCATCAGTAGATTCTTTATGAAAAATATGCACATAGCGGTGTAAGAAGACAATTCTACTTCCATGATATTATTACTGTTATTGATGGAGGAACTTTCCCAACAGTTGTGCCTATTGTTCCTTTTTGCTGATACCTGGCTGTTAAATAGTGTATTAATGGGTATTAACCAGGGAAAAGATTTCTAAATTCAATCATGGGACCTAATTATTTACTCACTCAGCTGTTGATGAACCTAAACCAGGCACTATATGGCTCTCACTTCAATGAACACAGTTGTCATCTCCTCCCTTAAATGTTTAACAAGGAAGTAAGGTGATTCAAAGTTGTTAGAAGATTTTTTATTTAATCCTTCTAGGATCATTCTTAGTAAACAATGAGTATTGTTTCGCTAATCTTATTTAATTTAGCAAGCTTGAGTAATGTGATACTCATATAAGATATTAAAATTTACTTCTCTGATACTCAATATCAAGACTTTTTTTTTTTTATTTTGCATATAGAGTGTAGACAACTTATTGGAGCAAGTTGAAATACTTATCACCAGTACATTTTGTATGCCTAGATATTTCTTCCAAGTTCTGCAATCAACAAGTGTTAAGGTATGTTTTTATTAATATGATTCAGGATTATGTCATATGATGAATGATGATTGACTATTTTATTTTTAGTTGGCTGTTACTCCCCAACCACGAGCCAATGGTGAATATATAACTGTAACAAGTGGGCAACAGTTGGCTGTCAAAGTAGAAGGAGTGATTCAGCATGGTTGCAGGGCAGGGCTCTTCAGATCTGTTGAGAGGGTTACTATAACACTCACCACACATCCATCCCCACGCCTCAACTCAAATGAAAAGGTATCAGATTATTGTAATTATTCTTATTTCAAACAAAAATAATCAAGTACTAATATATATTTTCTATCTTACTCATTAGATAAACGAAAATGGCCTCCTCCTAACTCAAACAGTTATACCTCATAGAGACTTCTTTTCAGCACAATTCCTTGTATCCCTTGGTTCTGGAAGTGTGCAGGCTACAGTCAATGTTAGTGCATCAGTTATTGATCAAACCGGCACTACTTGGCAAACTGGCCCTAAATCAACACTTACCATTAAACAGCTTGAAGATCCTGCTGTTAGGACTCATTAACTTTTTCTTTATTTTGTGATTATGTAAATGTGTATATAAATATTTAAATTAATTTTCATCTCAAATGATGTTTTATTGTTATGATTTTGTAATTTTTTAAATAAAACAAGTTGTACACTTATGATTAAATTTGCTTTATGAGATAAATGTAAGGCATGTCCTGGTTTTAGATAAATTAAAAAGTGATACATTACAATATTTAATGCACAAATTCAAATTTTATGTAATTAATATTATTGATTTATTGCAAAAAGCCATTAAATAACATTTTATAAAACAAATTGACTAAGTACTTAGAGAAATTTTCTCTGGGTGAAATCAGAACATTGTGCACTAAGTATACATATTATTGGTATATAAAAGAGTTTGTGTAATTTTAATGCACCTCGTTTTTCTACCAATAAATAAGGTTAAAATACGTAATACTGTACTTCGAAGTTTAGTACATTTCTACTACTTCGAACTAAATACATTTCTTAAAGAAATGTATATGAAAGAGTTTGTGTAATTTTAATGCACCTCATTTTTCTACCAATAAGTAAGGTTAAAATACATAATACTGTACTTCAAAGTTTAGTACATTTCTACTACTTCTAACTATGTACATTTCTTTCAGAAATTTACTTAGTTACTTTTCGCAATAAACAGGAGATAAATCCTGCTGAAGTATAACATACTTATAAATAATCAAAATATTATAAAATGTCATAAATAAAAAGTAAAAATATTAGAAAAACTATCCATGTATGTACAATCTTACCAAAATTCACAAAGGGTTAAACCATATATTTAGAAGTACAAAACTAAAACTCTTGGATGTGAGAAAAAAATATGGAACAATTATGAAAGTCCATAGGTTAGTTAAATAAATAAATGTGGGCGGGGTGACCGAACGGGCTAACGTGTGTGCACAGCACCGCCGTTGCCTGGCAACCTGATCTATGAGACAATGGATTTAAAATAACCATGAGTTCGCGTCCCGGTGCCGGGGGAGTCTTTTAAATCCTCGCCCACATCCCCTGGCTCGGGGAAACCCCCGTATAGCCTTAAAGGCGAGGAAGGGGAGGAAAAAAAAACAAAAAAAAAAAGAATAAATAAATACTACTTTAAGTTGTCTAAAAACTAAGAAAAAATAATTAATATTTTAAGAGATTAAGTTCATCATTATCATGAGTAATAGTAAAAGTTTAGTTGATTATTTTCATCCTCTTTCAATTAAACTTTTGCTTAATAACTCATGGAATTTATCTGTAGTAAATCTCTCATCCTTCATATACTTTGTTCATCATGAACTTTTGCTTAATAACTCTTAGAATTTATCTATAATAAATCTCTCATCCATCATATACTTTCATGTGCTTTAGTTCACATATTTTGGTTAACTGTTGTGGAGGGCACAATCTGCCAGCTCCTCTCCCTCTCGCTACAATACGTCTGTCTGTCTATGCTTGTTGATTTAATAGGTGCGTTTAATTTTCTTATCTTAGTTTTCTCCTTTTCTTCCTCCTTTCTGTCACTCTATTTTCCATATCTCCATCTCTATTTTGTATATATTGATACATTTGCTCATTCATCTTTTTTACATTATTTCAACTTTTTATTCTCTTATACGTAGTCAGTATTTTTGATAGATTTTATTGATACATTTGCTCATTCATCTTTTTTACATTATTCTAACTTTTTATTCTCTTATATGTATTCATATTTTTGATAGATTTTACAGTATCTTAATTTTCTTTTCTCTGTTTTATGCTTTATTCTAAGATTACCATTTTTCATTTCTTATGTTACCTTATTTTGATTATGTTTATTTCATTGGTCTGTGCTTTGTTACCGTGATTATTATCTATTTTTTAGTTCTCTGTTACTGTTATTATTCTACCTACTTTATTCTACTTTGATGTTCTCCCTATCTACTTCATTTTACTTTAAGTATTTACCTACATTTTTTAGTTAGTCTATACCTTTCACTTTTTTTAATTTTAATTCTTTATTATTCAATGTTTATAGTTTCTTATATCTATTGTTATCTGTTTCTTTTCTTAGCTCTGATGAAGGCCTGACGTCGGCGAATATAAAAATAAATACAATTATTTATTTTTACTATTTTATTTTGACTGATCACCCCTACCATCCTTCTCTTCTATTATTTAATTTGGTGTCTTACTAAGATTGTCCCGGTTTTCACAATATTTTAAGTTTCAGAAATGTTTAATCCATTTTAGTTTATTATTTCTGATAATCAACCTTTGTTTTGTATTCCAAAAAAAAAAAATTAACCTCTCAATATTTGGCATTTCAAGATACATAGAATATGAAAAAGAATTAAAAAAAAAAATCTATCCATATGGTCTAAGCTGCAGCTTTGCTCCAAGATAACGGCCGATTTTTATTTTGAGATTAGGGACCAAAGTCAGATTTGGACTGAGGATGATCCTCAGTAATCAACATGATCATCCACCATTTTTTTTTTTAAATTATGGTCGATTAGAAATTTTATATGTCCCTATCCCTAACAATTATAAAGATAGGGCAAACTTTGAGTTTTTTAGAATTGTTATTTCAATACCCTTACATAAAAAATCTTATTGGTACGAGGTAAGGATTACTATCCTTGCCAAGAACAGAATGGAATGAAAAACAGTTTTTTCAGCAGACAACTTTCTAATAACATTCAAAAGTTGCTTTTTTATGTAAATAGAAACTCTACAAAATTTCACTATTTTATGTTTATTTCTTGTGATTACGCAAGAGGCAAGATAAAAAAAATTATATTTTACATTAATTTTTTATCTAGTTTAGTTATTCACTTTTTAAAACAAAAATTGTGTTATTATCTAAAGATGGATACTTCTTTACTAAAATACCAATGATATGAAGTTTGGTCGCTCTGAATATATACTTGGATTTTTCTAAAATGTAAAAAAAAGGCTTTTTTACCTAAAAATCCAAATGTTGATTCCGAGGAATTAATATTTTAATTTTAAATTGTTGTTTAAACATAGTTTTTATGTTTAGTAAATATTCGTTTGTTCAAAACCGCTAATCTCCGAAACTTCTTCACTGTTCACTTTGAAATATTGACATAATGTTTATATCGCATTCAGGAGTGTTTTCTCTAGCAGATCCAGGATTTAATTTTGGGGGAGCTTCAGCCCGAAAGCTTTTTTTCCATAAAAATAACGATAATTACTTTGGAAAAAAAGAAAGAAACTAACTACCTATATGAAATGTTGTTTAAGTGATTCTTAAAGCACTTTTAAATGTAATTACACGAACAATAATACTTTGAGAGATATTTTTTTAATGTTTTTTCCTATAAAACATAATTATATTTTCCCATTTTTTCAGCCCGAAAGCCCCCCCATAGATCCACCCATGCATGGAGGTATCTCGAGGCGAAACTAAAACGTTTGATAAATTGTTTTGTATGATTCATTTTCGGATTCCAAGGGACCCCCTGTTTCCTGTTTCTATGAAGAGTTGAAGTGGCTTTATCCTTCCTACCGCTGTAAGTATTTCCTGGCATCCTTCCTCTTCCAAGTCATTCACTCCCGCCTTCCTTCATACATCTCCGAGCTCCTTCAATTTAAATTCTCTGTCCACTCCCGCAATACCCGTTCCCTGTCTTCAGATTTATATATAATGGCCCACCGACCCGCTGCTTTCGATAAATCTTTTATTATTCGATCCTCATCCCTATAGAACTCCATCGATCCAATACTCTCCCTACTTTTAAATCCAGTCTATTCAATCACTTTATTTCCATTCAGTCCCTCTAAAATTATAAATAGAAACTTCTGTAAATATGTATATATATTATTAGTTTATTTTCATCTCATTGTTCTTTCATTTATTTTTTTTTTTTTCCTAATCGATTTAATCTACAAGATAACTTTTTTTTCTGGAGATATATATCTGAGGCTCAAAAGCTCAAATTTCTGTCCTTGTTAATTATTCTAAAGGGATTTGTCCCAGAACAAATAAAATATTATTATTACTATTATTTCAGCAAGATTGATATCAAATCAGCCTTTCACCAGGTAGAACTGATAGATTCTTCAAAAGAGTATACCACGATGGTCAGTGACTATTAGTCAACCACTACGGTAACTTTTGTTACAATAGAGTTCCATTTGGCACATCCCCCTTACTTTGAATGTTACAAAAAGTCATGGATACAGTAGTTGCTGGTATAGAATATGTAGGAGTTATTCAAGATAATGTAGTTAGGGAACGGAGAACAATACATGAACATAATAAAAATTAATCCAAGTAATGGAAAGGCTCAACAATTGTGGTTTTACTGTAAATATAAATCTGAATTTTTATGTGAGAAGGTTGCCTTCCTTGGGCATGCTATTGATAAAGTACAGTTAAAGCCAGACAAAAATAAAACTATTGTGTTAACTAAAATCAACTCGCCAGACAAGCTTAAGTTATTTTTGGGTATGGTAGAGTATTACTGTAAGTTTATTAAGAATGCAGTGGATGTTATGAATCCATTTCACAATTTTTTTAAAAAGGAGAACCCTTGGTAATGGACAGAAAGTTTCCAGGAGGGTTTTAAGGAGGTAAAAAATCAGTTATCTAATCAGTGTGGCAATAGTAGTAAAGAAATGTTTATTCAAAGCTCAAATAACAGAAGAATCTTCGGATACAGCTTTAGCCAAATTTTTGCTAAACTATCGTAATTCGGTGCAATCTGTCATGTGAAACTCAAGCCAAGTTGATGTTCGGGAGATCTCTTAGATTAGATTTGATGGATGACCAGACATTTGGCCAAAAGGTGAAAACTACCCAAAAGCTCAAGAAAAATATAGCAAAGGCTCACCACTGTCAAATAAAAAACTCAGGGAAAAAAAGAGTGCTTTTCAAGTTCAACAGAAAGTTCATCTAAAAAGTTACAAAGATAATAAAGAGAACTGGTTGAAAGGTATTGTTGAAGAGATGTTGGAAGTGAACATGTGATGGGTGGGATTATTAAAAACAGGCTGTGTGATCAAGACACATGTAGATAAATTGATAGGTCATAGTGGAGGTAACAAAACCAGGATTCTGGACATTCAAGAAATGCCTTTGGTCATACATACAATGTGATGAAGATATAAGCACTGAAGAAACCGAAGAGGGACAGGATGAAGGTAAAGCCCAATATGAGAAAAGAAAAGAGGACACTTAAGTAGTTACAAATAGGATTAGGAGGTCAGAAAGAATATACAAGACTTTTTAAGGGAGTGAATAGAGTAATATATAAGGAATTGATATAAGAGGGTTCTGTGTGGCCTACATTTTTAATGTGTATTTTTAATTATCACATAATATTTTTATACATGTGAATAAAAAGGTTAATATTGAAAGAATCAATTCTTTGTTATAAATATAGTCTACCTTACTGATCCTAATTTTTCAAAACTCCTTAATATAATGAAAGGGACAATGATAATAACTTTTAAGTTTGAAAGGTCCTGATTTCTTAATTACTGAAGAAAGAAAGAAAATAATGTCATAGATGATAATAATATTAATAAGGTTTTTAAACAACTACCAACTTTTTTATTTTTATTTCTCCTACTTACTTTAGTAATTCATAATAGTTTTAACAAATTCCTTTCTTTTGAATTTAAGTGTCAATGACCATATCATTGAATATTGACTTTAAGCTCAGAAAGGAAACATAAAATATATATTTCAAATAAATTCCTATTTCATCAAAAATTAATTGTACAATTAATCAATAATAATAATAATAATAACAAACAACAAGAAGATAAGTCTAAATTTTACAGGATATTAAAAAAAAAAAAAATCAAAACAGTTCAAAAGGTTGTAAAACATATTAAAAACAAATTATTACAATGAAACCAACTTTTTTTTAGATATATCTATAATTGTAATATACAAACATGTGTATATAATTAAAACAAACATAACCACAAAGTTGCTGGAATATAAAGGATTTCTATTAATAATTACTTTCTAATTGTGGTTTATTGATATTAGTAATAGAATAAAGTGAGGGTTATGGGACATGAAACATAACTGGGTATTATTTTTTTTTTCTAATATTAACCATGGTCTACTTTAATCCAGTATCTAAAAACTAAACCAAGGCATTATCACAGCAGTAGATCACAGACAATTGTTAGTTGTTTAGTAATAGATTAACTAACTGGAACATTATAGAAAGTATCACTATTAACTAATACATATTATATGGATGGCTTTATTACATAAAATCTTAATTAAAATATAATAATAACAGACAATAATGTAAAGTATGCATTAATACTAACTGCCTTAGGGATTAGGATCATTACATATATTTATTTGATTATTTTCTGACTAAAAAATTAAGAGACTGCAAACAGCAAACCAAACCAATCTCTTACTGAACACAAAAAAAGCAAATTTAAAAAGTTTTATTGAAGATAAATATTTTAATTTAATATCAGTATTACTGTACTGATCCTCAACCATACAATTATCTTCATTATACCACCACAGCCTGCATTTCTAATATATTAACAAACAGTCAACTTATTGGCATACGACAAACCTGAATTTGAACAACAGACAAAATATAAACATTTATTCATATAAACTATTATAGATTGTATAAACAGGACAGATATAAACTTACTGCAGATATTTTATTAAAGTGAGGTATCAAGTCAACATTACATCAGAAATTATTTAATATTAATTATAAGTCCAAGAAATATTTTAAAAAGTATCTTAATGAAGAATATTAACTTGGCAATGTAATTTTTTAGAAATAACGTTAAAGTAATATTTAATAATCCTAACCAATTCTTCTTATTTCCTTTGGTCTCTTCTATTTAATTTTAATATAATTTTGATGTAATGTGTATTATCAAAATTCTCTAATATTGGATTACGACTTAGGAAAAGCAATGAAATATCTTATGGTCTTAAGCAAAACATATATTTTTTAACATAATACTTTTTTCTAGTTTGTACTATAGACCATGTGGTCATCTTAAATATATTTATTGCTAGCAGGATTATACTAAGCCTGGAGGAGAAATAAGACTAGTTTCAATAAATTTAGTGAATTGCATATTAAGCCTTCATTTAAAAAGCAAACTAAGTTCTCATCATTTGTTTAATTGTTCAACGAGATTTCTGAAAAGGTTGAGGTATATTCAGGCTTTAAATCAGAGTATTAAATTATTAATACCAATAGGCCAAGATGAATAAAACACGAACATCATCGCATGTTGTTTTATTCGGCTCAGTGATATTTACTAATGAATAGTAAAGGTGTTTATTAAGATAAAAAAAAATTAGAAACAAAAAGACCTGACCTCTATGGATACCGATGTCTATATAAAACATTTTTATTTATATAATGTCGTAACAATTTTCAATGGTTTATTTAAAGGTCAACATATTTTTCAATTATAGAACGAAAAAGAAAAGTTGAAAAGACATTTAAAAATCCCTCATTCAAATGAGTATTAATTTTATACTAAAAGTTCATTTAATTGGGATCTATAAAATCTAGAAGTTATAAGTTGAATTTATTTATGGCTATTATTGCTTCGAAATGGAAAATTTAGTGAATAAGGAAGTGAAATTACAGCTATGAAGATAAAAAAGGAAATAAGAAAATGAGAGCTAGTAAAATAACTTGAAATAATAGAATAGGAAATGTATACAATTTTTATTTCCGTGTTATAAATCAAATGAAGAAAAAAAGTCTATAATCCTATAAATCATGGTAACTCTTAGATTTATTATTTAATAATAATAAGTTCTGTTTATCATACAACATTTAAACAAAGATTTGATGAGGTCAAAAAAGTGTCAACATTTTGATTAGCTAAATTAAAAGTTCAAAATATCCAGAAAAATCAAAATATCTCTTGCCAAATTCATACATTATAATTTTTTTTTTTATATTATAAATTTTATATTACCTCCCTATTAAAAAAAAAATAAAAATAATAATAATATACATATATATTTAAAGAAGAGGGTATAAAAAAAAATTCATTTCATTTGACATGATGTCAATAAAATTATCCACTATTGTCAATATCATAATCACCTCTATATCCACCAGATTTTTTAACTAAAATAATGTCCTTAATAACCATGGCTTTAGTAACAGCTTTACACATATCATATACAGTGAGAGCAGCAACACTTACACCAGTCAGTGCTTCCATTTCAACACCAGTCTTACCTGTAGATTTAGCAGAACATGTAATTACAACAGTTTCGTTTTCTTCATTTAAAGTACAATTTACTTCTAAATGAGATAGAAAAATGTTATGACAAAGAGGAATGAGATCAGAAGTTTTCTTAGCACCAATGATTCCAGCAAGTTGTGCAGTAGTTAAAACATCTCCTTTTTTCATCATGTTTTCTTTTATCAGTTGTGTTACTTTAGGACCAACAAAAACTTTTCCAGAAGCTACAGCTACTCTTTCAGAATTGACTTTTTCTCCAACATCGACCATTGAGACCTTCCCCTCAGCAGTGACATGAGTTAGTTTTGATGAAGTGCTCATTTGACAAAAACGAGTGAGATTAAAACTTCTTGGAAACAAATAAGTATTGAATGGTGAGTTAATTTGAAAATATCGATTTAGAATATTAAAACCCCTTCTTCTTGGACCATGATTCTTTTCATTATGCATTTTAAAATCTGAAAATAATTAAATAGAATCATTAAGATTAAAGAAATAACAAAGAAAAAAAATTGGAAATTATAAAATACCATTATTACATACAGTAAATAAGAGGATTACATAGTTTTGAAAGAGGATTATAATACAAGAACCTAATAAGATTTTAAAAAGGAAATATTTTTATTATTTTAGTAATTTGCATTAATTCAAAAACATTCAATTGAAAGAAAAACAGTATTACCAAAAAGTAATAGTTTCATAATAAACATTGGTTTAAAACATTTTTATATTTATTTAACTTCAAAATTAAAATATAATATAATAAAATGCTCCTAATTTTTTTTTTAAATTTCATTTAATTTAAACAGTAATAAACTAGTAATTAAAAGTATAAAAATTAATATTTCCCACACCATGGTAAATTTGACCCAACTACTAAGATTTTAATTTATTTCAAATAAATTTATAATTGTTTGATTCTTTCACTTCAGCTTTTAAAAAATATTTATATAAATATATCTGATATATATATTTAGATTAAAGACAACCCAGTTTTGTAATTTAAACCTATGATATATAAATTTCCCAATCTTATAATTTTAAATAGTATTTACGCACTTGAAATCACCCACCAATCAGAATCATAGGTCGATTAGGCATCTGAGCAAGGTTCATCATGCCTGAAAACATTATATCAATCCAATAACTAAACTAAAAAAAAAAAAAAACTAAAAAAAAAATTAAATTAAAAATATATAACTACTATAAGGGGAAAAACAATGAAAGTCCATTATTGTAAAAAGTTATTTAAGAATACCATTTTTAAGCTTATAAGGTATAGTATCCAAATGTGAAATTTATAGCAGAAAAAATTACAAGCTTAATTAAAAATAAATTCAAAGATATACACCAAGGAAAAAAAGTAATAGTTCCATGGCCCTAGGGACAAATGATGAAGATACAATTGTCATTGTATGTGAGGCACATACTTTTTTTATTTCATGGACAAAATTTTTTAAAGCTCTATAATGCTAAATAAACATTTTGCACTTGTCCCAAAATACTTACGGTGGTTGGAAGGATATAGCTACTTTAACTCCTCATAGCACTAGCGGATCCAGGATTTAATTTTGGGGGGGCTTCAGCCCGGAAGCTTTTTTTTCATATATATAACGATAATTACATTGGAAAAACAGAAATATACTAACTACCTATATGAAATGGTGTTTAAGTGATTCTTGAAGTCCTATTAAATGTAATTAAACGAGCAATAATACTTTAAGACATAATTTTTTAATATTTTTTACCATAAAACATGGTTACATTTTACCATTTTGGGGGGGGCTTCAGCCCGAAAGCCCCCCCCCCTCCCTGTAAATCTGCCTGTGCCTCATAGAAACAGGATAGAGAGACATCCTTGGGATCCTGAAGATAAATTGTACAAAGCAGTTCATTAAACGTTTTCGAGATCCCCAGAGACGCCTCCATATACCGTGCAATAATAGTCAAAGTGGGGAAATATTAAGAAGGTGACCAGGAGTCTACGAGAAAGGGTCTGATCAAAGATTATTCCTAGATTCTTGATGGTGGGATAAAATTTGATGGGATTATCATATAGAAACAGGTTTGGAGTTTTATGGAAGTGATTGGAGCCTATTAGGATTGCCTTTGTCTTCTCTACATTCAACTTCAGCTTTTTGGCTCCTGTCCATTCACAGATTCTGTTCAAATGGATGGTATGAATTTTCTTTGTGGCTGGTAATAGGTCAGAAGGGGAGAAGGACAGGTATATTTGGAAATCGCCTGCATAGATATTGTATTGAGAGTGATGGATCAGGAAGGGAAGGTCATTGATGTAAATAGCAAACAGAGTAGGAGATAAAGAGATACAAGAGAGGGGAAGGGTCTTAGATGGAGGGTGACCTAGGATGACTACATATTGGGACCGATTTGAGAGGAAGGCTTTGAACAAAAGTAGGATAGAGGAAGATTTTGCAATTTAGTAAGTAGGATGTTATGCTCAACTGTGTCAAATGCTTTGGAAAGATCTAGAAGGATGAGGATAGTAAGGTTTTGGTGTTCAAGGGAGTTTTGGAGGTCATGGGTCATTTTAAGGAGTTTAGATTGGGTTGAGTAGCCAGGTCGAAAGCCAGATTGGAATCGATTGATAAGGGAATGTCCCGTTAGGAAGTTGGAAAGTTGATTTTTGAAGTCATACAGTAAGGAAGGGTTTGAAGTATATAAGCATGACTGCTTAATGACATAAAACTGATAGTATAGCAGTAGACAATATTCAATGCTCTGCACATCTAGAGGCCTTTCAATTATCTTCTGTCATAATATTTGCTACCTGGTTAGATATTTTGGGATTTACACTTCGATACTTGGATTTACTGAAGTTCTCCAGTAGCCCCAGTTTAGTATCTTTATTCTTCATTTCTATAAATGCATCCTTAACAACCTCTAATGACCTTCCAGTGATGTCATTGTCATCAGGAATCACTTTCCATTGGTAGCCACTGAGAGCTAATCAGAATATTTTGAGGAGGAAACACTTCCCCCGCCTGGCACAGCAGCAGCAGGCTGATAACCCTCTCTTAAAACCAATACATCCTGAAAGCTCACAAAAGGTTTGCTGGACCAAATAATGGTAAAACAGACCAGAAAACGTCACATAGACTTCAAACAGGCTGTATGGAATGTTTTATCCTCATTGACTCAGAGCTTTTCATCAATACGATACTTTTAACTAGATTGTTTTTTTTTATTTCTTTCGACTGAAGTGAGAATCAATATAATAACTTCTTTACATTTTTATTTCCTTATTACCTAAATATTCAACTGTATTATCTGATAACTAGTAGGGCCGTGCAAAAAATTTGACAAGCGTATTATTATCAAATACCAAATTAATAAGAAAATAAATAATGCAACATATCAAATGAAAAAGGAATCAATTGTTACTTTATCGATAAATATAATCGACAAAGGAAACAAAAATTAATTTAAATCTTCATTTTTGTTTTGAACCAACATATTTAAAAATTTCAATAAGCTTTATCATTGCTAAAAATTGTCCGATTTCGATGATTTTTTTTTCCCTTTTGTTGGTAACTTAGTAATCTTTTATATAATCATGGGCATAACCCAGGAAAAAGTGTGCAATTTTTTAGTTATTCGCAAATAAAGTTTTCTTTCATAACTAGATTACCTGAATTTTCGGGGTAATAATAATATTAATAATAATAATAAGGCTTAGCGAACCCGAAGGTTCGATGCCGACACCACCAATCGCTTGTTACACACCTCCCTCCACCGTTCGCCGTCCAAACCCAGTCCCTTCAGATCGGCTTTAATGCAATCTTCCCACCTTCGCTTCGGTCTACCCCTCGGACGCTTACCATTCGGCACAGCAAATATTAACCTTTTAGGAATTCTCTCGTTACTAAGCCCAACAACTTTACAAGCCCATTTGATTCGCCGCGTAAAAATTACATCAATTATATTACCCGGATACAGCTCACGCAATTCGGCGTTGTGTAACCGCCTGAACTCTCCGGTTAACTCATCCTTCTTCGGTCCGAATATTCTACGCAATACTTTATTTTCAAAAACCTTAAGACGCTGCTCATCCCTTAATGTAAGCGGCCAAGTTTCGCATCCATAAAGAACTGTAGGCAAGATAATGGTTTTATAGATTCTAATTTTTAAGTTTCGGGACAAGAGGCGCGAACTAAGTAGTTTTGTCACAGAAAAATAACAAGCATTCCCCGCCTTCAGTCTAACCTTAATCTCTTCTTCAATTTCGTTTTTTCTAGTTATTGTAGAACCTAGATACCTAAACTTCTCTACCTGTTCAAATATATTTCCTTCTATATCGATATCACCCGCAATAACGCCATTTTTGCAGCTAACCATATATTTTGTTTTATCCACGTTTATTTCGAGTCCTAGTTCTTTACCGGCTTTCATTAAAGTTGTCGTATTTAGTTTTATAGTTTCAACGTCTTCGCTTAACAGTAATAGATCATCAGCATAGCCCAGCACGGATGTTGTCCCGCCCAGATCCAACCCTTTCTCGGTTCGCATTACCTCCCTAATGGCATGTTCTAATGCCAAATTGAACAGGACAGGCGAAAGAGAATCCCCCTGTTTTAAGCCCGAACGAACCTCAAATTTTTCGGACAAATTATTACCGATTCTAACTTTATTGAGTGTCTCCGTCAAGCACATCCTGACTAGATTTACTAGTTTTTTTGGAATCCCCTGCTCGATTAGAATATTATACAGTTTCTGGCGGTCAATAGAATCGTAAGCCTTTTTAAAATCTATATACAGCTGGTGAACAATACCGTTATACTCCAATTTTTTCTCTAATATTTGCCGTAAAGAAAATATTTGATCAATAGTCGAACGATTCCGTCTAAATCCGCATTGGTAGTCTCCGATAATTTCCTCGGCGTATTCCGTGATTCGACTGGTTAAGATTAAAGTGAATATTTTATAACATACCGGGAGGAGTGAAATTCCTCGATAGTTATTACAATCCGTCCTCGGACCCTTTTTGTGAATCGGAATGAGAATAGATTCTTTCCATTCTTTAGGTAATTTCTCGTTCACCCAGATCTTTTTAACCAACCGATGTATTTTAGAAACTCCAGCTTCTCCGCATGCCTTAATTAGTTCAGTAGGAATATTATCGATTCCCGCTGCTTTATATGATTTTAATTTACCGATAGCTACTTCAACTTCCTCTTTACTTGGTCCTTCTATCAACGGTTCAGCACTCTGGTACTCAGAAGGAGGACATAGATCATAATTTCCCGTATTTAAAATATTGTCAAAGTGGTCCTTAAAATTATTCAATATGTCAACCGGATCGGTCAGAATATTGTTATTATCATCCCTAATTCCAGACGTTACGGGCCCTACATATTTACGTGATCTGTTTATACCTTTGTACATGTCTCTTACGTTATTTTCGATTCTATTAGTTTCTATTTCAATTATTTTATTT